TATTTATATTATTGCCTTAATTGTCTGTCTTATATGGGAAGGAAGACATTACATGTAAGTACCTGTAATATCTTTAATTTATAACTATAGGATTTCAAGCAATGTTTTCCAGCCTATGAATTCACACAATTAAATAGGTTCTATTAGAGACTGAACATAATTCTAACACTAAGGGCTCTTTCCCAATGAGACTATGGTTCTATGTAAATCAATCTTACTCTGCAGGGACTCTCGCTGAATGCAATCAGATTAACAGATTAACATGCCCTAAGACATGGCATTTCAAGCACAGCATCAAAAGGGAAATAACCTGAATGTGTATATGTAATACAAAGTACCAGCATGTGTGAGCATGTACTTGCCGCCATACTGGTATGTGGGCATACTGGTATTCACTAACACGAGTCATTACTGGGGTAGCGCTAACACTCGCCAATTTAACCAAATGCTAAAACTGACTTAAATTGGCTAAAGAAAAAGGGCTTGATTTGGCATTTTTAGCCAAATTATAACCTTTTTGGTAAAAAAATTGACAAAAATGTGGTGATTTGGCTAAGCGAAAAAAATTGCTACCCCAGCATTAAGTCTATGTTTGGTATCATTAAACTGTGCAAGTACTGCTCACCCAGTAAAAAGTTGTGTCAATTGTTATCATAAATATTATTCTCTTACTTTTCTTTTTTATTTATCTATTTATTTATTAATTTATGATCTTGTTGAAATCCTTACCCCCAGGAATCTGAGTGAAGATGTAACCATAGAAGAATGAGCCAAGTATTAGACCAACAAGTCTGGAATCCCAGGAAAACTCGGGTTCAATCTGAAATTAATATGACAGCAATTGATGCTGAACTGATAAAAGCATTATCTGACAAAATATCACTATCTACCAAAAATATTTTTAAAAATTCATATTCTTCTAAACTTTGACAGACATTTAATTTAAATGTTAAAATATTATGACATGAATCATACATTCGATTCAGAATCATGATTAGGCATCAAAATTAACATTTTAGCTGTACAATTATAACCAATGAGTACGTTTTCTATAATCTGATGTATCACAGTGAGTAAAAAACCATTATTTTTGTTAAATGGCTGTATCAGGCACTAACTGTAAGGCATTTCTATGGTGCATCTCTTACAGAAAAGCAAGGCTATTAACTTAAATTGTAAATCTCTAAAAGTGAAACAGTCCATTTTAGCCTATCCCTCAAAGTGAAAAAAGCCTCTAATATACAAATAATATGATCAGTGAGTTTTCCCTACATTCACAGTTAAATCATGCTATTACCACACTAGACCTGTAATATGGCATATGGTCAGTCTGATAACACTATTAAATTACACTAAATTAGGGGTGGTATTTTCCATGCTTGGTAAATGCTCAGAGTGAGGCACTATTATTATTATAATAGGCAATTATAATGACAGTGATATCATCCATTTATATAAAGCATGGTATTCTCCCTGCTTGGCGAGTATTCACAGTAACCCACTGACAAACTTCATTTTACATACAAGGTACAATGTGATTGAAAAAAAAAAAAAACATGAAATACTGGGTACTTGTACCTAAGGGGGTGGGGGGTGGGGAGGGGGGTACCAGGCACAGATAGTAAAGATATGCATATTAAGTATATTAAATACTTAAGTATTTACTTACATTGTTTATTAATAAGTTGAACTCCTTGATTCTTTTATCTGTCTCTTAAGGCCTTCAATGGCAATATATATATATATATATATATATATATATATATATATATATATATATATATATATATATATATATATATATATATATATTTTTTTTTTTTTAAAGGAACTGCATAAAAGGCATTTAAGTTACCCCAGAGTCTGTCTCTTTACAATACTATTTTCTTGGCACACATAATTTCAAATCCACATTTCTTTCTGGATAAATCAAAATATATTCTAACCTGCAGTAGCTGTGGGCTGAAGTACATCAAGACAGAGAGAAACAAATGAGATATTGATTTTCTCTTACTTCAGTCTCCCTTTGTAAACTGCTGTAGTTTTAAAACATACTGCCGATGCACTTAATGGAAGTTGAAGTATTGATTTTTCAGGAATAATACCATAATAATCACAGATTCTCATAATGCGACCACTTCTTCGTTTCTTTTATCAATGTCTCTCATCTTGCTACTATAACACCAGTATATATTCGTAGTACTGTCTGACTCCATGGTTTTGAACACTTACTGCATTAAATCAGACTGAGTGTTTGTAAAAATATGATGACTTACATGTACACTCTCTGAGTCAAAAATTTCAATACAAAATTTAAGATTTACATTGGCATACTTGTATCATTGGAATTAAAATAGGAGGGATGGAACAAGAATAAGTATTTTTTTAAAAGAAAATTACGATCTAATTTTAGTCATCCTGCAGTTCTATGAGGAGCCACAGTTAAGTCCTAACCCCATTTTTTGGTAGCTTGAATGAGGTAAATCAGTCATTTTTAGTTTTAAAAAAATTAAATATATAAAAATCAATAAAAAAAATTGCCCCCTCCCCCCCAAATATGCATCCGCCTATGGATTTTCAAGATTATTTTACTGAAATTTAAGTATTATCACCTAATAGGAAGAGCCTGACCAAGAGACCCACACTCATCTTCACACTTTTACCTGGACAACAGTCCCGTTAACCACCTCCGTCCTGTTTGATAACATGGCGACCACAGCTATGCTCAAGTTCACTCTCAGGGCGTACACATTGACTGAAACGTATATAAAAACATAAAGATAAAACCACATGCTTGATTTATAGAATCTATACCAAGACATTCCTTAATATCAGTGATGAATTTAACAATCAATTCCTATTTTAAAGTCAATGAATAGTTGAATGGAAAAAAATTATTATCAATCTTGTAACAGATGTGAATGAAATTCCTGCCCATTATCACTTTATTCACATATACAGTACATACTAGTATATTCTCTCTCTTTCTCTCTCTCTCTCTCTCTCTCTCTCTCGCTTTCTCTGGCTATTCCTCTCTTTCTTTCTCTCTCTCTCTCTCTGGCTATTCCTCTCTCTCTCTCTCTCTGTATCTCAACAATCTTATTCTACTCACAGAATCCCAGAAATGCCATAACTGCCACCACATATCTCTTCATCATGAACTGGCAGCAAACACTTTGCTCCTGATCACTATGCTTGGAGGAACTGATAGCTCTTCTCTCTTCAGCATCAGACTCCGATGTGACATCTTGAAGCGGGACTGACCTCTTCTTCAACGTTTCGTCCATATTGTGTGGTCAGTTAAAGCATCCACCACCAATTCAGGAAAGAATCACAGCTATAGAGGACTACTGAATTTGAGATCTACAGCAAAATAAAAATGAAAGTACTGTACTAGTAAATTGTTTGTTTACCCTTTCACACATGTTTATACTAATTATAGTATCTGTTAACAAAAAGCAGAATACATGCACATATTTCAGTATTATATGTTCATTAAAATAATCAAGGCAAATCTTTGCAAGTCCTGGCCAAATATCAAGCAATAAGAAAGTGGGCTGGTAATTTTGACAAAATTTGTCAGCCCAAATGGACCAGCAATTAATAATAATAATAATAATAGATACTACTAACGCCATACACTAGTATAATTAATTCTTACTTTTCAGGGAGTATCTCCCAAAAGGGGCCTTTCCCCTGCACTCCCACAACTACTACTACATTTGGAAAGGGGGGGGGGGGTGGAGGGGCGAGGGTGAAAATATTAATTTATATAGGCCTACGCCATGCATTGTGTCCCATGTTACGTTTATGGTCTCTCTCTCTCTCTCTCTCTCTCTCTCTCTCTCTCTCTCTCTCTCTCTCTCTCTCTCTGGGGCTCTCTCTCTGTGCGGGTGCCACTGACATAGAAATGCACCTGAGATGCACGACCGGTCAAATCATATGGGAAGCAGTGTGCTGTTGACAAATGTACACCCCAGTTATATAATACAGCGAGTGCTTGATTACCCACATTTCCACCTTTCGAACAGAATTCACAGAACAAAACTCCGATGGTAATTTCTGACTTACCATGTGAATCTTCATCTCGTTATCTCTCCCTCGACTTCCACAGCTGTCGACATTTTCGCAGACTGTCCGTATCTTCTCATCTGTGTAAAATGTATCATCACAATCGCCTTCTCTGTCGCAATCTCCAAACAATCTTGTTTGTGACGTCATCCGCGCATTCTCACCTATCGCATTTATCGATGCAAAGCGTATAACAGTCTGTCCGCAGATTCCAAGCTGCGCGTGCACTCTGTCTGAAGCGACGGCCATTTTCGCACTACTTTCAGCAAAATCGAGTGAAAATGGACGACTTTTGAGCTCTTCGTATTTTCATGTGTATTTTTGTCAACAGTTGGTGTGATTAAACGATAGATATATAAAAAGAAGCGGGAATATCTAGGGATTCGGAATTTTAAGGTTAGTTGTCATAAAAAATAGATTCAGAACGGTAAAATGGTAGATTTGTCCACGCGGGTGATTGCAAATGGTGTCCCGTTTCAGGTGTCCGAAATTTTCTATTTGAAGATCTCTATAAGAAGTTTAAATTGTACAAAGTTTTAAAAACTAAATCATGAAAGCTGGTTAAACTCGCTTTCTGGCGGTATATATATTTTGTAAATTCAGCTTTGTCCATTTTTTTAAGCCCGAGGTGAACGCGACGCCAAGCACTTGCATTTTTGAAGCGTATAACATTGGGGCGTTTAAATTATAACAAAATTGCAATAATGTTTATACCACCAGCGTTTTATATAAATTCTAAAAGCTAAACAAGTGGGCTTCGTGTTGATATGAAATATATGTTGCATTCGGCTCCCATCTGGTTGGCAAAGTGTTGATAATCCCGTGAAGTCGGTGTAAAAGTTGGCAAAACCGATTTTTTCAAGTGCAGTAGGTTACTGTGACTATGTATCGCAGGAAACGCAAAATATTTTTAAACATTTATATTCTCCAGAAAGGCGAAATCATAAACTTTCAAATGATATATCATAAGGTATGTCTCCTACAATTTTTACCCATTTTGTGTGGGGAAATTAGTGCATCTCCAAAACGACGACAAAAATGGTACCCCATTTTCATCATAATTTATAGCGTCACGTGACCAACTTGAAGCACTGGCCCGAGTTAGCAAGACTACAAGTTTTCTTAAATATTCTGAATACATCAGAGCAAACAAGTCACATTAAAATTAAAATACGAACAAGTGCTGTACATCTTACATCAGGAATATTCCAAGAGTTATAGGCCTATACTTCATTCTTAAAACATCAAAAATGGTATAATAGTTATGATCCAATCCACAAGAAATCCAGTGTGAATTTTGACCAATATAGAAAGATATTGCTAGATCTAGTTATAAATAAAACAAGATTTTTTAATTGAATAAATATTTACAAAGAAGTACTGGTCTATGACCAGGTTGTACTTTTTAAAGCCTGAAAGGGTTTTGATAAAAAAATCATTCAACACCGGTTTAATCATTATATTAAGATCTGCATTTTTGCCTTGTTCTCTTATTTTACTGCTCAAGATTTATTTCTATTTACTAGTACTATATTTGTCTCTTACATATTAAATTATTTAAAATAAGACCCTTCCAATTATAATTTAAAAAAATATCCCTAATCTATTTAAAATTTACATTTCTGTTTTTAAAAATACAAAATATTGAAATCTGTGTGATAAACAAAACTAAGTAAACATTTAAAATTCATGTCCTTTAAGCACTGTTCCTGGGAAATGTTCATTCAGCCTCATGACTATATGTACTGACCTTGTTAAAAGTTTTTTGGAAACTTTTTGCCTTTAAAATTAAAGCAGATAACAAGGTTCCAATAAACTCGTTGGCCAACTTGATCTGTCTATTCTGTGGGCAGAAGCACCTGCCCCAGCAAGTTATGAATATTACTTTAGCCAAAACTGGCATACATATTAAGATCATCCCCGGCTGAAAATTCTTGTAATTAAATTGACTGATGTAATTAATTAATTTGTAATTAAATACATAACAAAGTAAAATGCATTGAAAATTTAAAAAAAAAAAAAAAAAAAAGAAAACTTCAGAATAGAGTATGTTTCAATTTTTTTATTTCCTTAGAACCTTCAATGGCCAGGTCATTTACCTGCTGGATATGACAATCAGAAAACTTAAATCAACTTTCAAGTTCAAAATTGGGCCGTTTTCCCAGAGTGTCACCCTGCCACCCAGTGGTTGATAGATTCCTTGACTAAATGATCATCAAAACTTGGCCCCTATAAAACTGCTGTCAAAATTTGGTTAACTTTAGCATAATATTCCCCAAACTTGACCTCCAGTCAGATTTGATTCTTTTGAGAGCACTGTAATGTGTATCCTCTCTCCACCTTGTGAAGTGGACAGGGTGAACAAGGCAATTTCAATTAGCATTATTGTATAATGTATTCTAATCTTTGTCTGGTCTCCTAGCCTTGAAACAATCCATACACATATCTTTACTTTTATTCACTATAAACATGCCACCTATGTGCTCTTTAAATGCAGGCCACTCTCAGTGGAAGTCTTTTGGGTCAAATCCCATCCCGTTTAATACTTAAAGAAAGTATTGTTCCAGAACTTGTCTGCTATGAGAAAGGTTTCTAGGGTAAACAGTATCCAAGACTCTACAAAACACCATCTCTTGTTCAGTCACACCTGCATCAACAGCACCATCACACAAAATCGTATGGAAATAATTTTTCCCTGGTCTTGACTAGAACACCTCTTCCCTTATTGTCAGCTGATATCAAATTCGGGAATCTGTTAAAAATATAATATAATGTAATGATAAAATCATACATGTAGAAACAAGGAATTCATACAAAGCAGATAAAAACTGAAATTTAATGAAAAATCCATAGATTAAAAAAAAAACCACCTCATTGTCAGTCTCACACCAGTTGTTTATCAAAGTAATTTCTTACCATACTATATAGTATTTATAATTCCTTGGTCCTACTAGTAATAGGCTAGATAAATAATAATGAAGTATTGGATATATATATATATATATATATATATATATATATATATATATATATATATATATATAAACCAGGCCCCCCTTTTTGCTGGAAAAATGTCCACTCTGGGTAAAATTTGACCCAGATACATGGGGATTATATGGTAAAAGGTCCACTTTTTCATAAAAAGAACCCCCCCCCTCTGAAATTGCTGGCTACAAGCCTGTAAACATTTAATTAATTACCTTCTGCTTTGTCTAACTGGTATCTTTTCATCATTCCATGCCATCAAGTCCATTCTCATGCTATAGCTTAGGTAGGGATAGGTATACTGTCAACATTTCACTAAAACTGAAAAGCATGTAATGCATAGGTAATACATTTAAGTGTGCATTGGTCATAAAGTGTGGCTGTGCCTTGACAAACTATTTTTTCAAACTTGTTTAATTTGAAGACTTTTTTACTACCAACTTTTACAATTTCAGATAAATTAAGAAAAATTGTTTTAAAAATCAAAATATTTAAACTAATAATGTAAAACAACTTTGGAACCTGCCCAAGAAAGACCTTCAGTACACCTGTAATGCTGATTGCGCCATGTGCTAGTTAACAGGTGTGTGTGTATAAACACACACCCTATTTTGGAAAAAGGTCTAGATTCCAACCTCAAGGAAATAGACACAGATCAATACTCAAGTAGGCCTAAACATTTTATGTAAACAAAGTACAACTATAACTTTGCAACAAAATGTAACATTTCACTGGTACTGAACGTCAACAAGTGCATCTAAACTGGGGCCGTAGCGATAGTCCGAAGGTTCAATAGTCCGAAGGTTCATTGGTCCGAATGTGCACTATAGAACCTTCGGACCAATGAACCCTTGATTAAAAAATCGATAAAAATGTTACCACTTTTCGGACCAATGAATCTTCGGACCAATGAACCTTCGGACTATCGAGACGCCCCCACTAAACTATGCGAAGAGAGGTTACTCCAAAATCATTTCTATACATTTCGGCGCTTACATGAAACTTAGTGAACGCAAAAAAGACTCACCTTTAAGTCTGCAAACCCAAAGCTATGTATCTTGAAAGGCAAACAGTAGATTTTCCATTCTAAAACCATGTTATGGTCGATCTGCAGCACCGATCTCGTTTTTTCACGTATTATTTTCCATAACAACTCTCACTTTGACAGTGACACATTGTATACTATGAATATACACTTGAAAAAGCTGAACATTCAATTCTTTTTTACCGAAATGCAAGATTTATGGAGAAAAACGCTCTCGAGTCACTTGCTCAGTGCAACGTGACAGTCCCTGTTTCGACTGACCTACATACTTCGCACTAAAATAGGGATTTCACAAAAAAGGAAGATTGTACAAAATTTTTATTCTTTTTGGCTCAATTCCAGCATATATAGTTGCATAAATCGTTATAATATCAACAAAGTAAGTTTGTCCATTTTTTCTACAATCATTTCATTTTAGGGTACAAAATTCAACGATCAGCTTGAGGAAAATGCGTGTGCTAAGTTTAGACATCTGATACAAGGCTTTCGTCGAAATTGAAATGCTCATTTTATATTGCGCGCTTACATCAAGTTCTAAATTTTATTCCTCGAAAGTTTAAAGCGAAATAATGAGTTATTCACAGAGCTTCGTGGATTTACATAACAACTTCGGATTTTTGCAAACATGGCGCGAAACACACGTCGCGGACTATTTTGTGCAAGCGCGTAGGTGTTTATGTAATGATCACCGCTTACGCATTGATATGCAAGATCTGCGGACAGACTGTAAGATTTATGTCATTGGCCAGGGCGGAGGTTATGGCCAGGGGAACGTTTTGGGTATTAAACTTGAGTGGATGAGACTAACCCCTTTTTATAGAACAGGTACTGGGGTAGTCTTTTATAAGCCCTGATTCAACGCTTATTTAGACCTACTTTTGGCTGATCTCTGTACATAAGCCAATATATTCCGCTGAGATATTTGTTCATTCATTCCTCAAATGTATAGGTCTAGGTCAGTTGTATCTAGGTTAGGTTTAATGAACGCGACGGATACCTGAAGAGTAATGTTTGGTGACCGCACTATGAATAAGGCCTATGGAGTACTTAAGAAATACAGTAATGCGTATCGCGTGAAGTACAGAAAATGACTTTAGAAACGAGTCCATTTGAAAAAACTGTCATAGAAATAAAATGCTTTTTGGTATAATTATTGTGAGGTGCAATAACTTGAAGAGAGTCCTGTCATTGAAGTATAACTGTAGGCTACATTTAGCTGTGAAAACGCATTTATTCAAATTCGATTTTAAGTTCAGAAAACCTCTCAGTAAACTTTTACATTTTCACAGTGAAAGATACATAAGAAACTTTCTGCACGGCATTATTATAAGGCCTGAAAACGCAAGGTCGCTATTCCTTTGCTGCATAACGAAGTTTACATATCAGTTGCTAGGCGTTTACTTGGTTTCAACCTAAAATTTCTTTTAATAGAGACATTGAACTGTCTTAATAGGCCCTAGCACGAAAATTCATGCGTTAGTACTCCTATTGACGATTCTGATATGTAGGCTACTGGCTGTGCTCAGCCATTACATAATTAATTTGCATTAATCGCAACTTTTACCATAGAAGTGTGCAAGTGCCCTAACGAAAGTGGTGCGGCTGCTACGCCTTCCTTCTCTAATAAATCTTCCTTGTTTAATTATTGGAATATTTATTGCCGTTACGTTAATATTACATGAGAAAAGACATAACGCCCTAGTAGGTGTTCTATTAAGCTGTTTTTAAACAGTTATATCATATACCTGAAGAGCGAAATATGTCCTCGGCGCTTTATCTCCTGGTGTGTTTTTGTTCTTCTTGCATCAACGTAAAATCGGAAGATGCATTGGTATCTACAAATCACGGGATTTTACGGGGATTTTCTGCAGGAACCATTCTGGGTCGTGTAATTCAGTTTCTTGGTGTTCCTTACGCCAAGCCACCAGTTGGCCCACTGCGTTGGAAACTACCCGAACCTCCCGAAAACTGGGATGGCGTAAAAGTGCAGAGGAATTCGGACCAAGCTGTCCGCAAAAATTTACCACGCAACTTACTCATATTTATCCCAAGGAATTTGTACGCGCCCGAATCCAAAATCAGAAGATTAGCGAGGACTGCCTTTTCCTGAATATCTATGTTCCCAAGGCGGTAGTAGTGAACGGATACGATCCTCTTCCTGTGTTTGTGTTCAAACATGGCGGGAAATATGAATGGGGATCTGGGACCGAGTTCAACGGTACCTTTCTAGCTCTACAAGGTAACATTATAGTCATCTCATTTAATTATCGTCTAAATGTCTTTGGATTCCTTTCAAATGGTGAACCAGAACTTGGGGGAAATTATGGAATGTTCGACACAGTTCGAGTGCTTGAATGGATTCAGACCAACATCCGGGCTTTTGGTGGAGATCCATCACGGGTCACTTTAGGCGGAGAATCGGCAGGTGGCGTAACAGTGGACATCTTTCTTTCAATGAGCCCAATTATGCGAAATCGACGGCTGTTCAGGAGGGGAATTGCTTCAGCTGGACCCCATTTACTTCGGGGACACAAAGTTTTTAAAGAAATAACAATTAACAACACCTTGACAATCGCTTCTTTGTTAAACTGTTCATTTCCATCGGGACAGCAAATGGTGTCCTGTCTTCGACAGAAAACAACCAGGGAGTTCATGTCAGCGTTTTATCAATATAAAGGTGATAGCGTTTTTTCAGCTAATGTGCTATTGCCCTACGGAGACGGCATTATTCTAGATGAAGAAATAACTGACTACCCTGGTGGGGATGTAGACGGATTAGACTATATGTTGGGAACATGTCGGCCTGATAGCGGTTTCTGGTTTGGTGTAGCAGGAAATGAATCTGAACCCAACATTGAGATTGCAAAGGGTTTTACGAAGGGCCTGGTCGAGTTTCTTTACCCTGGTGCTCCTGATTTTATGACCGATGTCGTAGTATTCGAGTATACATCACCCGATAAGAAGTCATCACACGAAGCATGGCTGGAACTGTGGCAAGATTTATTCTTCCTCGCCCCTGCATGGGAGCATGCTCTTCTGTGGCCAGATAATTCCAGTGTTTACTTTTATGAGTTTGTTCACAAACCGTCATTTTCGGTATACCCTCACTACGTTAATGGTGCCTCTCACATGGAAGAGCTGCACTTTTTCTTTGGTGACGTTTTGGACTCGTCACTGTTCCCTACCAAGCCAACTGAGGAGGAAGTGGAACTGAGTAAACAAATCATGACAGCCATAGGGAATTTTGTCAGATCGGGGTAAGTTAAATATGTCATCCGGAGCTCAAAAGTTATTGATCTGACTATTGAATAACAGCTACCCACTGCTTTTTTTCCCAAGAGTCTAGAATGAGATTGATGTAGGAAATTGACAAATAATTTAAGAGCAAATATACAGTTATAACGAAAAAGAAAATATAAGAGTGAAAATGTGTTAGCATTTTATTATTTATTTCCTGTCATCTTATAATCTGCAGTTTAAGTCACGTATTTTGTAAATTCGAAGATTTGTATTTTATGGTTAATTATGCCAATTTTAGGAATCCCAACCCCCCATCCCCTTCAGTGTCGTCAAGTATGCCACACTGGCCGAGAATTGATGACGTCAGGAGGCAGTACATGGAATGGACGGTGGAAATGACGTCAGCAAACGTAAAACGAGACATAAAACCGAGAAAAATGGAATTTTGGAATGTCCTCTTTCCGAAATCCCTCTGAGCACAATCGCAGAACGTACAGTTTATGAGGTTATAAATTGTAACAATGGCGGTTTTATTAGTTTTGATTTCGAGAAATAAGGTTTATTGGGTTTGATTTAGCAAGAAAGGGTTTTATAAGGCTCGATTTAGCAAAACAGGTTTTATTAGGCTCAATTTTGCAAAATAGAGTTTATAAAGTTTAATTTAACAAAATGGAATTTATAAGTTTTGATTTGGCAAAATAATGGATTTTTAGGTTTGATAAAGCAAAATAAGGTTCATTAGTTTTGATTTAGCAAAATAGGGTTTATTAGGTTTTATTTAGCAAAATAAGGTTGAGGATGTGTGATTTAGCAAAATAAGGTTCAATTGTTTTGATTTAGCAAAAAAGGGGTTTCTCAGGTTTTGTTAAGCAAAGTAAGGTTTATTAAGTTTGACTTAGCAAAATATGTTTAATAAGGCTTGATTCAGCAAAATTAGTTTTGTTGGACTTGATTTAACAAAGTAGGGTTTATAAGATTTGATTTATTAAGAATGGATTTTAAAGTTTGATTGAGCAAATTAGGTTATTGGCTTTGATTTAACAAAATAAGCTTTATTACGTTTGATTTAACAAAATTGGGTTTGATATAGCAAAAGTTCCTCGTCTTTCTGCAAGACAATTGTAGCACCCAACTGATACAAGTCAATCTGTTGCTATAAATATATATTTAATGGATTATACTTTCAGCATTACCAGCGATACAAACAAATAAGCAAACAACAGATATAGTTGCAAATTAAGACTTGACATGTAATATCGAATATTTTTCTAAATAATTTTCTTCAGTTTTTCCCTATTCTGCTGACTGATCAATGAAAATAAGGGTTAAAAGCGTGTTTTTGATAAATTTTAATAATCTCTTTGATGTCATCGTAATATCAGCTCATTTACTGAATACGCCAGTGAAGCAAACAAAAATACATCGCCTATTTTAAGTCATACGACAACTGTTAAAAGTGATATTTTGGATTTCCATATTTTCCTAATTATGACCTGTAATAGAGTTATACGCCCCACAGAGAACTCTCATGTTCGTGTCTAGTCACGTGTCCCCCCCCCCCCCCCCCCACTCTTGGCTATAAACCTCTTTGGTAATTAGAAATACAGTGGTATTCTTTTTCTAAACGCCTAATGTAACACTTAAAATTTAGATAAATACCTACATTAAATGTCAAAAAGCACCGAAGCAGTAGCTATAATTCTATTTAATGACACTTGGAAATACTTCATCATTCTTTATTCAAAGAACATGCATGATTTCAGTCATTTTTAAGTTAAATTAAAATTCATTCTCACCTGCGCAACAAACGCTTTCCATATGAAAACGGTTATCACGCTGTCTACCACGCGCCTTAGGAAAGAGTGTTGTTTCTTTCTTTTATGGCACAGGGCTTATTTTTTCAGTGTATTGTGTTAAGTTACATAGATTAAAATATTCAGATCAAGATGTGTCGAGTTTCAAACATTTGATCAGAATCAAATGAGTCCTAACAAAATCGACATTTCCGTATTCGTGATCTATCTTAATCTCCTTTTGAGTCTAACTTAATAACAAAGAACTTGATATGACTTTGTTTTAAAACAATCTAATAACATAAACGACAAAAGAGAATAAAAATAATGAGTTGATTATTGTCGTATCAACACATCTACATTAATTTTCTTCCCAGTTACTTATTATAATTTTGAAGACTCAAATCTTCAGCCGCTCTCACACAGCCTGGGATGTGTGAGAGTTGGGGGGAGTTGGGGGGAGTCATTCCACTAGTTAACCTAGTTTACCACTAGTTTAGTTTACGTAATTAAGACTTTTTTTGCCAATTGTTCCATACTTAAAACGTGGCAAGTGTAGTGTCTACTGTATACAAATAATGTCATATGGACATTTTAGGCCTATTGATGTGACAGCTACCCGTGTAGTATTCCATGTACTAAACCAGGTTTGGAGTAGGCCAATGGTATGTCTGCTTACGTCAATTTTGATGGTTTTCTTACAGTACTTCCTGCGTTAGAGCGTGAAGTAAAGAAAGGTGACTTTGGAAATGAGTCCAACTGAGAAGAAAATTTTAAAAAATTAAATTTAAAATCTTGTAGCATTTATTCAATATCGCACAAAGATTTAGCACCAGACCCTAAGAAAACTGCCCAGTAACTTTTACTTTTTCACAGTCAAAGGCACATATAGACGTTTATCCACCACTGTCATTGTCGCTCGTCCAACTATTCCTTTCACTTCACACGAAAACCACACATTTAAAGTTGGAGCTATTTAAGCTACTGTCATAATAATCTCACGTAGAGGGACGCATTCCGCTACATCTTTGCGTCTTTTATTAACCCTGAACTAGCGTCAGTCTTTTTAATGTTAGGACATAAAATCTAATTACAAGGAATCGCGTAATTAGATGGATTTAAAGGTAAAGTGTGTGTGTGTATGTTTTCACTAAAATTATGAATCGAAGCATTTGGTAGTTAAAAGTTCGTGTTTTATTTAAAGTGCTTTCAAAACAAGGAAATACGATTGTAGCCCCATGCGTGGAGTAGTAATATAAAAAGTACTATGAAAAACACTTGCTATTCCGGCAATTGGCTTGGCCTCTGCCATAGACTCTACTTGTATACTGTTGAGAAAACATTAATGTATAAAAACAACAAAACAGCATAATTGTATATTCGTTTTTAACAGAAACTTCGCGTTAATGGTAATGTTTTTGTGATATTTCTGTCTGATAGATTTTTCTTAAATATTTCACATGCGTAGTTGACACTTTTGCATCCATATTAACATTAAAAAAATTATAGGTACCCTTGCTAGTTTTTTTGTTATGGTGATTTGAACTCTGGGTTCAGGTACTATAGAACCCTATTGCAGTGAACAAGAAAATAAACGTTAATGCGAACAGACAAATAAATAAACAAAAAAATGAACTAACTAACCAAATAACGGGAACAAAAACATAACCTTCTTCTCAAGGTTATAATATACATATAGCAACAACAGCAAGAAAAATAAAGTTTCGCTACTAAGCGTAAGGTCATGCGAGGATTTGCGGAATTTGAAAGAGATTGGATCTGAAAAATTGTCTGTGTGATAAGGGCGTTGAGGCAGCAAATGAAAGCTGACAGAATTTGTCCACTGATAATTTTCTGGTTCAGATAAATTCAACAGCAGTGGCATGCGCTTTTATGTAAAATTTTAGCAGCTATTTTTCTTCAGTTGAGAGCTAATATTGAAAATGTTTTACAGCGCCAATATTTCACCTTCTTTCTGTAGCATCTCTGTCTATCCGGGTGAATATTGACGATTGAGTTTAAAAAGCTCTCGAAAGGAAAACGACGCGTTGTACTAATTCCTTTTCGCCACAATTCGCAGTCTTTACCATTAAATGTTCAAGTAGGAGTATCCTGACATAGTTGGCAAAAACCATAAAACTAGTATGCGCGATAAACCAAGTAATGTGCAATTTTTACTGCACAGATTGGAATATAAAGCTTGCCTTTAATCAGTTGCATGACGTAGGTGAGAAGCTAAAGATGTCCTCCGCCGTTAACCTTCTGATTTGTCTTTGTTTCATCTCCGTTCATTCTGAAGAAGTATTGGTCTGCACTAATAATGGAATTTTACGGGGATTTTCTGCAGAAACCGTTCTGGGTCGTGCAGTCCAGTTTCTTGGTGTTCCCTACGCCAAGCCACCAGTTGGCCCACTGCGTTGGAAACTACCCGAACCTCCCGAAAACTGGGATGGCGTAAGAAGTGCAGAATATTTCGGACCAAGCTGTCCACAAAAATTCACCGCGCAACTCACTCATATTTATCCCAAGGAATTTGTACGCGCCCGAATCAAAAATCAGAAGATTAGCGAGGACTGCCTTTTCCTGAATATCTATGTTCCTACCATGGTGGTACCGAACAGATACGATCCTCTCCCAGTGTTTGTATTCAAACATGGCGGGAAATATGAATGGGGATCTGGGACCGAGTACAACGGTACCTTTCTAGCTCTACAAGGTAACATTATAGTCATCTCATTCAATTATCGTTTGAACATATTTGGGTTTCTTTCAAATGGTGAACCGGAACTTGGGGGGAATTACGGAATGTTTGACACTGTTCGAGTGCTTAAATGGATTCAGACCAACATCCGGGCTTTTGGTGGAGATCCATCACGGGTCACACTTGGCGGAGAATCGGCAGGTGGCGTGACAGTGGACATCTTTCTTTCAGTGAGTCCAATAATGCGAAATCGACGACTGTTTCAGCGGGCAATTGCTTCAGCAGGATCCCATGTGCTTCGGGGACACAAAGTCTTTAAAGTATTGACAGTACAGAACACCATGAATATCGCTTCCTTGTTGAACTGTTCACTTTCTACCGGACAGCAAATGGTGTCCTGTCTTCGACATAAAACCACCAAGGAGTTGATGTCGGCGTTTTATCAATATAAAGGTGATAGCATTTTTTCGGCCAATCTTCTATTGCCTTACGGTGACGACATTATAATAGATAAAGAAGTAACAGAGTACCCGGGTCGGTATGCATACGGAATCGAGTACATGTTGGGAACATGTCGGCGTGATAGTGGTGTCTGGTTTGGTGTCGCAGGAAATGAATCAGAAGCTAACAACACGATAGCTAAGGATTTTGCACAGTTCTTTGTTGACGTTTTTTACCCTGGTGCGCCTGACTTTATGATGGATGTCGCAGTATTTGAGTACACATCACCGGACATGAAGACGTCCCACGAGGCATGGCTGGAATTGTGGCATGACTTCTTTTTCCTCGCCCCTGCATGGGAGCATGCTCTTCTGTGGCCAGATAATTCCAGTGTTTACTTTTATGAGTTTGTTCACAAACCCACATTTTCGGTTTACCCTCACTACGTTAATGGTGCCTCTCACATGGAAGAGCTGCATTTTTTCTTTGGTGACGTTTTGGACTCGTCACTGTTCCCTACCAAGCCAACTGAGGAGGAAGTGGAACTGAGTAAACAAGTCATGACAGCCATAGGGAATTTCGTCAGATCGGGGTAAGTTTAATATGATAAAATAAGATGCAGCTTATATTAGTCCACGAGGTGTCCCTTGGTTTCGTTTCATAACACTTCATTTTTGCGAATGTAATTTCTGTATATAAAATTTGCTAAAATAAGTATAAACTAATAAATATTAAAAGACGTTAAAACACTAAATGTGCAAAATTTAAGTTTAAGTTTTCGAAACAATTTATACATTTTATCAATGGGAAGGTCTAAATTGCCGGTAAAACGGCTAATTTGTTCTAAGCAGTACTCACTCGCGCTCTTCTACCTTTACTGTGATAGCAACGCTAATGATCACAAGAGAGTAGGTGTCAATTTGACTGCTCCTATTGGCTGGCTAACTCACCATATTGATAGAAAAAAAATCCAGTCTAAATGTTCAAATCATGGCATATTCAGGGGAGGATCCAGGATTATTTGAAGGGGAGGTCCTCGGATGCTAATCCGAACCCCACCCCTCTCTTTGGCCTGGGGTTCGGGCCCCCCTGAAGGGGACCCAGAATTTTTCGTATTTTAGAGGGCAAATGGTGCCATTAGGTATGGTTTAGAACTATGATACAGTTAGTCAAAATTCTAATTTCAAGTGGGAACCATTGGTTCGATTTAGTCATAAATCGAAAAGGGGTGGGGGAGTTCAGGACCCCCTGACACCCCTCCTAAATCCGCCATTGATACTGGCGGATTATGAAGTTAATGGACCCAAAAGTAATTACTTTGGGACATTTACAGTTCATAACACTCCCAATATTTCACACTTGTAAAAATGGAATAGCATACTCTTTTCTAAACGTATTTTCTGCTCAAACTTAATTAACTATATTTTAAAATCAAACACTAAGTTTGCCAAAAAATATACGAATATTTTAAAGGCAATATATACAGTGGTTATGAAAAAGTAATATAAGAACGAAATGTGTTTAGCATTTAATCATTGATTTGCTGCTAGCTTTTAATCTGTGGTTTAGGTCTCACATATAGCATGTTTTTAACTAGAAGGCTTGATCTTATCGTATATCATCTTCATTTTAGGAACCCCAACGCCCCAACCCCTTCAATGTCGTCAGGTATGCCACACTGGCCGAGAATTGATGACGTCAGGAGGCAGTACTTGGAATGGACGGTAGGAATGACGTCAGCAAACGTAAAACGGGATATGAAACCGAGGAAAATGGAATTTTGGAATGTCCTCTTTCCGAAATCTCTCTGAGAACGTACCGAGCAGGAGGCTGTGCTAACAGCAGATCCAGAGCGGACACAACGGGCACCTGTCATTATCATCTTCCTAGATACTGTCCTTCCCCCCTCCCCTCTCCATCAGGACTGAGGACCAAAACAAGACAAAACCTAACTATTTACTTCAACCTTGAGCCCTACTCATTATACATGTATTAATTTTTATAAAATTTATGAAAGATAAAGAAGGATGATACGTTAATTTCTTTTTAACCAATGTTGCCTATCATACTCTTATAATCTGATGACTCCAGTTTCAAGACTATGAGACATTTTGTTGTTTGAATATATTAACTGTTTAACAGCTAGGATGATGTTTTCAAAGAAGTATCTTACATATCTTTTGCTTATGAAATGTCGTTTGTTTTTTTGGTTTTTTTTTTTTTTTTTTTACTTCAACTCTTTAACCATGTCTAAAACGATTAATTCGTGAGTTTAAATTTGAGACCCAAATACTTAACTTCATTAAATGCCTTTTTAATGTCTAAAAGCACCGACTGTGTTATGCAATACTTCACCTTAATGCAAATAACTTGAATAGAGTTGCTTAATTGGCTCTTTCCCACCTGCATCGCAGACGCTATCCAGGTAAACACTATCCTGTGTGCCACGTGCCTTCTAAAAGGTTACCTTTCTGTTCAGTTGAGGTTTAACTCTGCGGGTTGTCTGAGTTCTTTTTTCTTCTTTTTTCTTTAGTTGCCACTAAGTAATCGTTCGTCATTGATGGACTTGATTTTTAATCAAATTCAAAATATGTCAAATTTTGTCAGAATCCAATAAAATTGATTACAATATTATAGATAATATAAGTATGAAAATTTTCAATATAATCTTTGTATATCTCGCATGACTTCCACAGCTGTCGATATTTTCGCAGGCTCTCCGTATTTTCTGTAAAATGTAGCATCACACCCGACTCCGCTGTCGCAATGTCCTAACACATGATTCAATCATCTACTGCATTTAAATTATAAAATGAGTAAAGACCTAGCTTTAACTTTACTAAGTATGATTTAGGATAAATGACATTTGTTAGGGTCAGGGCGTGAATTATGGTCGGCGTGACAGGAATGGTAATCCTAGGAATGGAAGTCCTGGTTCCTATATGATAAGTACAGGTCAGGGTTAATCCAAGTATTGGGGTTAGTATATGGAACGAAATTCAATGTCACCTGTACAAAGTAATGGACTATGGTGCCTAGGGTACCCCCATTCCTGTTACACCGGGACCAGGGTTTAGGTGTAGAGATGAGAGGCAGGTAGTAATGCATAAAAAACGGTGTCTTTATAAACCAACGCTTAGATTGGTTCTCTGTAGGCCAATCATTTCGCAGACAGCTGTCGCGTCTAAAAACTCCAAAAACATACATACAGTTGATGAATTAATTACATTTATTCCTCAACTGTGGAGTATATGGGTTATTGTCTTTTTTTTTTTTTTTTTTTTTTGGGGGGGGGGGGTTACATGACGTGACAGAGGCCTGACTGTGTAGTATTTTGTGGGGTGAAGGTATCTGGGTTGGGTCTTCAACAAGTCAAACCCTGTTCTTGGTCACAAAATCTTCTAGAATGGGGGACGTTCGAATAACGTCTCTGATGTTTTACTAAAATGTTTGCGTCTTAAAAGATGTCTGGAGAACGTATTGATGTAAAACACCAAACTAGACATCACCAGGGCGTTCTAAAGGCTTTTCATAAAATCTTCACTTGGACTTATGGGGATAGTTTCAATAACACTGGATGACACTTTTCTTTGTATGAAAATGTTATCCTCTACCCAGATATCCTAAGGATGACAACTATGTTTAACCACTGGATAACAATTTACAAACATGGAGATCAAAAGACTATCCAGCCTATGTTAAACATTATATAATTCCTTTATCCCACTTTCTCTGCTCCCGTCGCTCTAGATAGTGTTTAGAATGATCCCCACGTCAGTTCCCAAAGTTGAATAGTCCTCTTTCGGAAACCCCTCTGAGAACAATCGCAACGTAAATTTTATATGGTAGTACGTTGTAGCAATGGAGGATTAATTAGGCTATTAGATTTAAAAAATAGGTTTATTAGGTTTGATTTAGCAAATAATGGTTTATTAATTTTGGTTTAGCAAAATAAGGTGGATAAGGTTTGATTTAGCAGAATATGGTTAATTGGTTTTGATTAAGTAAAATAGAGTTTATTAGTTTTGATTTAGAAAAATTAGGTTTACTAGGTTTGATTAAGCAAGAAAGGGTTTATAAGGCTTTATTAAGCAAAATAGGGTTTATCCAGATTGATTTAGCAAAATGGGGTTTCTTAGATTTGATTAAGCAAAAAATGAATTTTAAGTCTGATTTAGCAATGGCCCTTTTATTACTTTTGATTTAGTACAAAATTTTTTATTAAGTCCGATTTAACATCAATATTGTTCCTCGTCTTTCTGCAAGGTCATCTTAGCAACCGACTGGTGTAAGCCAATCTGTTGCTATAAATGTATATTTTATAGATTATTTCTCCAGCATAGCCATCGTTACAAACTAATAAACAACATATAATAGTAAACAATGGAGTGGTGTTTAGATCATGGATTCAGGCTCCGTTCACATGAAAAGTCTATTTTCTAAAAATCTATTTTCTGTTCGCGGTATCTTGTGATCACGGTCTGTGCCCTGAATACCCCGCGGCGTAATTACTGGCAGCGCGAGCCAGTTACTTCCAAAGCTGTAATTAATTCTCGGCTGCGCTCTGAGTGATCACAAGATACCGCAAATAGAAAATAGATTTTTAGAAAATAGATTTTTCATGTGAAGGGAGTCTAAAACTGTCGTGCTTGTGGGTGTCTAATATACGTCCTCTGAAATCCATTTTCCTTCAAGTTTGGGATGAACCAATTTAAAGTCGACTGCTTCTACCAGCACAATTCCTTTTGTGTTTAATTATTATTATAAGCAATTAAAAGTAGGACAAAGAGAAATAATGTGGTACTCTTTCTCTATAAGCCTTCTGTCGTTTACAGTTTTTCTCCTCTTGAAGGATATGATATTTCTCGTACATACCGCTTGACAAAATCTGTCTCAAAAAAATAAATAAATAAAATAATAATAATGATAATATTTACATAATATATATCAGTTATATATATATCAGCTGTGTTATAGGCGCAAAGATTAAAACAATTATTTTTCTGCAATCACCAGCAAATATTGTTTAGGTAGTATAGCTCCAATATTTCATTGGCTTTCCCTAGCATCTTTCTAACAGAAGCAGGCAAACATGAATATTGAAAGAAAATATGACGCTTCGTTCATAAAGTCTTTTTACATCTCCATTCGTCTCTTTTACCATTAAATATTGAATTTTATTTACGTACTTGGCACAAAAGTCAATCCTTGCATTTTTCATTAAAAACTGTCTGTCAAGGTTACCTAGGTATGTGAATATTTGCTGCATAATAGATGGGAAGAAAACCAAATTCTCGAAGGCTGTTCTATAAAGCTTGTTTTAAAACATGCAGTTTACATAAAGTAACAGAGAGTAAAAGATGTCTTCCGCGCTTTATCTCCTAGTCTGTTTTTGTTTCATCTACGTTGATTCAAAACAGTTCATAGTTCAAACTAGTAATGGAAAATTACGGGGATTTGCTGCAGAAACCGTTCTTGGTCGTGTAATTCAGTTTCTAGGTGTCCCCTACGCCAAGCCACCAGTTGGCCCACTGCGTTGGCAACTACCCGAACCTCCCGATAACTGGAATGGCGTAAGAAGTGCAAAGGATTTTGGGCCAAGCTGCCCACAAAAATTCACCACGCAGCTTACTCATATTTATCCCAAGGAATTTGTACGTGCCCGAATCCAAAATCAGAAGATTAGCGAGGACTGCCTTTTCCTAAATATTTATGTTCCCAAGACGGTAGAAGTGAACAGATATGATCCTCTTCCTGTGTTTGTTTTCAAACATGGCGGAAAATATGAATGGGGATCTGGGACTGAGTTCAACGGTACCTTCTTAGCTTTACAAGGTAACATTATAGTCATCTCATTCAATTATCGTTTGAACATATTTGGGTTTCTTTCAAATGGTGAAGCGGAACTTGGGGGGAATTACGGAATGTTTGACACTGTTCGAGTGCTTGAATGGATTCAGACCAACATCCGGGCTTTCGGTGGAGATCCATCACGGGTCACTCTAGGCGGAGAATCGGCAGGTGGCGTGACAGTGGACATCTTTCTCTCAGTGAGTCCAATAATGCGAAATCGACGACTGTTTCGGAGAGGAATTGCATCAGCTGGACCCCATTTACTTCGAGGACACAAAATCCTGAAAGGATTGACAGTACAGAACACCATGAATATCGCTTCCTTGTTGAACTGTTCATTTCCTACCGGACAGCAAATGGTGTCCTGTCTTCGACAGAAAACAACCAGGGAGCTGATGTCGGCGTTTTATCAATATAAAGGCGAAAGCGTATTTTCAGGCAATGTCCTTGTGCCTTACGGTGACGACATTATAATAGATAAAGAAGTAACAGAGTACCCGGGTCGGTATGCATACGGATTAGACTATATGTTGGGAACATGTCGACGTGATAGCGGTTTCTGGTTTGGTGTAGCAGGAAATGGATCAGAACCCAACATCGCGATTGCAAAGGGATTTACGCAGGGTCTGGTCGAGTTTCTTTACCCTGGCGTTCCTGATTATATGACCGATGTCGCAGTATTCGAGTATACATCGCCTGATATGGAGTCATCCCACGAGTCATGGTTGGAACTATGGCAAGATTTATTCTTCCTCGCCCCTGCATGGGAGCATGCTCTTCTGTGGCCAGATAATTCCAGTGTGTACTTTTATGAGTTTGTTCACAAACCCTCATTTTCGATATACCCTCACTACGTCAATGGTGCCTCTCACCAGGAAGAGCTCCATTTTTTCTTTGGTGACGTTTTGGACTCGTCACTGTTCCCTACCAAACCAACTGAGGAGGAAGTGGAACTGAGTAAACAAGTCATGACAGCCATAGGGAATTTCGTCAGATCGGGGTAAGTTTAATATGTCACCCAGAGCCCTAAAGTTATTGATGTGACTATTGAATGCAATATTTTTAACAGTATGTTCACCCGCTGATAAAATAAGGTACATGTTATACCTAAGAGGGTACAATGAGTTTGCCTAAGAAAATATTAGTATACGAATAATTTAAGAGTGAATATACAGTGATAATAAAAAGAAAATATAAGATTGAAAATCGTGTTTGTATCTGATCAATTATTTGCTGCTAACTTTAAATGTGTAGTTTAAGTCACGTATATTGCATGTTAATTAGAAGATTTTTTTTTTTCATTTTGTCGTTAATTATCTAATTTTAGGAATCCCAACCCCCCAAACCCTTCAATGTCGTCAGGTACGCCACACTGGCCAAGAATTGATGACGTCAGGAGGCAGTACTTGGAATGGACGGTGGAAATGACGTCAGCAAACGTAAAGCAAGACATGAAGCCGAGAAAAATGGAATTTTGGAATGTCCTCTTTCCAAAATCCCTCTGAGAGCAATCGAAGAACGTACAATTTATATGGTTGTACAATGTAGTAATGGCGGGTTTATTAGTTTCAGTTTGGAAAATTTAGGTTTATTAGGTGTGATATAGCAAAATGGGTGTATTAGGTTTGATATAGGAAAATAATGGTATTAGGTTTGATATAGGAAAATAGGTGTATTAGGTTTCATTTAGCAAAGTCGGTATATTAGGTTTATTTTAACAATCTAGGGTTTATTGGGTTTGGTTCAGAAACAGGGTTAATGACGTTTTATTTATCAAAAGTTTTTTCCCATTTCTGTAGGGTTATGGTTGCATCTGACTGTTGTCTTATATACACATGTTGTTATAAATATATATTGGATGGATTTCTTCAGCATTACCACTGGTACAAAAATTAAACGGACATAACTGTGAATGCTAAAAGTGGTGTTTGGATCATGAATTTTAACCGCTGTCCTTACGGGTGTCTAATATAAATGTCCCCTGTTGTCTGTTTCTTCAAATTATGGAAAAAATTGGATGAACCAATTTAAAGTCGTCTGTGCCTACCAGCAGAATTTCTGGTTTCATTTAATTATTAAGCAATGATGAGGAGGGCAAAGAGAAATTAACTGGTAATCTTTCTCTAGCCTTATGTGATACTTACAATTTTCCTCTCTTACAGATTATCTCCTCTTTGCTATTTATACCGGGTGGAATCGTTTACGGACCTAGGCACATATCTTTTAGCCTATTTTTTATCATATATTATTTTTCCATGCAATTTCATGAATTTGTCGTATTTTCTTCAGCTTTCAGGAGATATGTTCTCGGCTTTGGAATCGTTTATAGTTTTCATGCTAGAAACAAAATAGTGCTGAGATCGTAAACGACCCCACCGGATTTTCACTCTTTAGCCCATGTTCTGCATGGTGTTATATTCCGTAAATTTCACTCATATTATTTCTTAGTTTAAAATATGACAGAAATACAGAACAATGACATATTTGAGGAAAATAAAGATCCAAAATACATGTGTTAGAGTGGTAGAATTCCACAGATGAGAGTGATATGGGTGCATCAGACTGATGATGAAGAAGCATCTGGCACTTGTGACACATAACGGAGAGTACAATTGGTAATGATTCAGAGGTTGAACATCAAGAATGGCAGCATCATCTTGTAACCAAATGGTGCAAAATTTGGTGCAGAATTCTCCTGAGGCACAACTTCGAATATTAAGTAAATGTTAAAAATCGCCAACATTTTTTTACGACGGACAAAAAAGATATTTCCATGGAATTTGCCAACTCAATGATAAACATCCGATTTGAACACCATGCTCAGCAGATAAAATCTTTACCTGTTTAAATACTGTTAAAATATGTTTGCATAATACCTCAAAACGTTTGGGCGAGAAAAACTGCTATGCACGTTTTTATTCACTGGTTTTAGTTCTGCTTATAATACAATTGCCCCTTTCAAATTATACCTTAATTCCCGCAACTCATTCCCACCTCAGGGGCGGATCCAGAGGCATTTTCTGACAGTCTTCCAAATTATTTTTGTTGATCCATCCTCCACTTTTGACAGTCTTCCGACAGAAAAAAATTATATACCCGCCAATGTAACCTTGAAAATCTGACCGTCTTCCGGAAGTCTCAGAAGGCGGCCTCAATCTGCCCCTGACCTGCATCACAGACGCATTCCAGGTGAACATGGTAAGCACGTGCACGCCACCATTTGCTGTCTGCCACCTGCCCTCTGAAAGATTGTTCAGTTGATGTTTTATTCAATGGATTTTTTCTTTCTATACGGCACAGGGCTTACCTTTTGTCAATGTTTAGTGTTAACTTAACATAGAAGGCAGATATTTAAATAAAAAAAATGTGTCGAGTTTCAAAGTTTTGACCAGAATCAATGTATTGATGATATAAATATGAGTCATTCCAACAAAATCACCCTCTCTGTATCTCACTATTGACCTCCTCAATGTCGATATTCTGGCAGAATGCCAACACATCTTCTCATCGACATAAAGCATCATAACCACCATCTTCTCTGCAGCATTTCAGCGGCTTGGTTTGGGCTGAGTTTTCGCCTTGGGCGAGTGGGAGTCACAGATGGATTTTTCACTAGGTTTCAAAGATGAGTCTCTGGCTAATTAATGACATAATACTCTGCTGAAGAAAAGGTGCACGTTGATAATCTGCGGCCCTGGTATAGGGTAGCGGAGATTTTGTTTAAATTGAGTTGAAGTAGTTTCATAACTCTACGTGTTTATAGGACCAATGGGAACGTAAATTTTTCGACAGTCGCACACCCCGTGCCCAAAACATTTAGCTACCACAAAGCTAACGACCTCTAACCCTTGGCATTGTGATTCACATAGAGCACATGTATACTTCTGTTGAAAAATATTGCATTTTTTCTTTAAACACTTCAAAGATTTTTTTTTTTTTTTTTTTTTTGAAGAGAAAATAAAATAAAGTCCAAAGCAATACTATTGTACTGATTTTTTTGGACGTCAGTGTACCTAAGGATTATCGGTATAAATTAAATATATCTTTAGCATAAAATTTCATTTACTCTTTGTTGCCATAGGCCAACGTGGCATTGAAAACAACTATGAATTTACAATAAATATCACTCGAGTTCAAAGAAAACCACAAAACGAAAAGAAGAAAACTAAGAAGTGAAGCGAAATCAAATATTATAAATAAAACAAAAATGGGTCTTTAACGTATAACGTTATTTGATCAGAATGGACGACAGCAGGAGAAACAACTAAAATTTCATGCAGCATGAAGTGCTGCGTTGTCTGAGCACAATATATGACGTCATGAATGGAAAAAGTCTTACTCTCACCCAAGCACACCAAGCACAATTGCACTCTTCTAGGGCCACAGATTTGGTTTTCAATGGATGTTCACAGATATATTTTTCTGGTTAATTCTATACGCTTCTGTGATTGTATCCAAGAAGAATTTTATGGTTTTGTCGTAACTACGCTGGCCCTTTTTACAGAGTAAAGCACAATAAGACCAGAACTCTGCCCCTCCCAAACCATCAAACACATACAGTACGCGATACACTATACTCTTACCACAATCGAGTTTATTTAAACTTTTAAAAGTAATGCACAATTCATATTCAGTTATGCTTTGAAACAGTCAACAGAGTATTTTCTATTTGCGGTGGGAAACTTTTACCCTTCCAGAAATACAATAACCAATACAAAAAGTACAAGCGAAAACATGTATATTTCATGTACATTAACGCATACTGTATTCTGCTGCACAGGCTTCCCTTGTTGGGGTGCTAAAATGTCTAGTTTCCAGTGTCATTTTTCATAAAAAAAAAATCGCGATTCCGGCAATCGGTGTCTTGTGTTCTGAAAAAGACGATTCTGTCTGCCGTGGACACTGGTTGTCTTGGTGAGAAAGGTTCTAGGGTGTCCAGTCATGCTGCACGGTGGGTTTAGTTGAATTTGATTAAATCTTTCAAAATCGATTCCAATGACTATTGTCACTAGTAGGACTCAATATTAAGTCCTAGGTTACTAGAATCGTTTTAGAGTGGAGAGATGAAGATGCGGGGAGTAGGTGGCCTCTGTGGTTGCAAGTAGGCTACTTGGTCGGGGGAGAATGCATGGAAGCCCCTCGGTAGCCTTGCCGTACGCTGACTTAATAAAATTCAATCTAATTGTTTAAAAGCGTTTCTGACGAACATAAACTATTGTCAAAGCTTTATGCACTGTACGTTCCGTGGTTACTGTCAGAGGGATTTTGGAAAAAGGGCATTCCAAAACTCCATTTTCCTCGGTTTCAGGTCCCGTTTTACGTTTGCTGACGTCATTTCCACAGCCCATTCCAAGTACTGCCTCCTGACGTCATCAATTCTAGGCCAGTGTGGCTTACCTGACCACACTGAACAGGATTGGGCGTTGGGGTTCCTGTATTTATGATGAAATACAATAAGATCAAAATGTTTTCTAATACACAGCGTAATTAAAATTAGCAATATAAACAAGCAGCAGTTGCTCATGTAATAATTAAATCACAATTGTTTCTATATTCTTTTTTTTTTCAAAAGTACTGTTATTGTATGCTCTTGAAAATTAAGGTACGTTTCATATAATCACAGTGCGTTCAAAGAATTTTACTCAATATTTCTATTGAAAACTTTTGAGCTCTGGGTCTCATGTCAAACTTACCCCGATCTGACGAAATTTCCTATGGCTGTCATGACTTGTTTACTCAGTTCCACTTCCTCCTCAGTTGGCTTGGTAGGGAACAGTGACGAGTCCAAAACGTCACCAAAGAAAAAGTGCAGTTCTTCCATATGAGAGGCACCATTTACGTAGTGAGGGTATATGGAAAATGACGGTTTGTGAACAAACTCATAAAAGTATACACTGGAATTATCTGGCCACAAAAGAGCATGCTCCCATGCAGGGGCGAGGAAGAATAAATCTTGCCACAGTTCCAGCCATGCGTCGTGGGATGACTTCATATCGGGTGATGTGTACTCGAATACTGCGACATCGGTCATAAAATCAGGAGCTCCGGGGTAAAGACACTCGACTAAGCCCTTCGTAAAACCCTTTGCAATCTCAACGTTGGGTTCTGATTCATTTCCTGCTACGCCAAACCAGGTGCTGCTATCACGTCGACATGTTCCCAACATATAGTCTATTCCGTCTACATCCCAACCTGGGTAGCCTGTTATTTCTTCATCTAGGATAATGCCGTCGCCGTACGGCAATAGGACATTGGCTGAAAAAATGCTATCACCTTTGTATTGATAAAACTCCGACATCAGCTCCCTGGTTGTTTTTTGTCGAAGACAGGACACCATTTGCTGTCTCGATGGATGTGAACAGTTCAACAAGGAAACGATTCCCATGGTGTTCTTTACTGTTATTTCTTTTAAAATTTTGTGTCCGCGAAGTAAATGGGGTCCAGCTGAAGCAATTCCCCGCCGAAACAGTCGTCGATTTCGCATTATTGGACTTAATGTGAGGAAGATGTCCACTGTTAAACCGCCTGCAGATTCTCCGCCTAGAGTGACCCGTGATGGATCTCCACCAAAAGCCCGGATGTTGGTCTGAACCCATTCGAGCACCCGCACAGTGTCAAACATTCCGTAGTTTCCCCCAAGTTCTGGTTCACCATTTGAAAGGAACCCAAATATATTCAAACGATAGTTAAATGAGATTACTATAATGTTACCTTGTAAAGCTAAGAAGGTACCGTTGTACTCGGTCCCAGATCCCCATTCATAGTTCCCGCCATGTTTGAATACAAACACTGGGAGAGGATCATATCTGTTCGGTACCACCATGGTAGGAACATAGATATTCAGGAAAAGGCAGTCCTCGTTAATCTTCTGATTTTGGATTCGGGCGCGTACAAATTCCTTGGGATAAATATGAGTAAGCTGCGTGGTGAATTTTTGTGGACAGCTTGGTCCGAAATATTCTGCACTTCTTACGCCATCCCAGTTGTCGGGAGGTTCGGGTTGTTTCCAACGTAGTGGGCCAACTGGTGGGTTGGCGTAGGGGACACCAAGAAACTGAATTGCACGACCCAGAACGGTTTCTGCAGCAAATCCCCGCAATTTCCCGTTATTAGTTTGAACAATGAACTGTTTTGAAACAACATAGATGAAACAAAAACAGACCAGGAGGTAAAGCGCGGAAGACATCTTTCGCTCTTCGGCTGCTTAAAGTAACTGGTTTAAAACAGGATCTGTTGCACATACGGTAGTATGAGGACTTATATAAAGTTATGTTACTGATAAACGATGTACACGTTTGCGCAGTTCAAGCGGAACGTTATATATGGGTCGTTCGCAAGGCTTCACTGATATCTATATATAGTTTACTGCCAGGTAAATACTGTGAATTCAAGTTTAGTCATAATGAGGCTAATGTGCGTCGTATAGTATACTGGTAGTATGAGGACTTAAATACAAGTCATGTGCGTAAGTGATAAAGGCTGAACACATCGTCAAATAAAAATTTGGTCATAATAAGGACTAAAGTGTGTTCAAACCAATGAAATATTTTGATCAGATATTAGGGAGCATTCAGATAGACACAGTGTACTAGTTAGGTCCCAATTCTGAGGGGGCTCTCGCTAAGAGCAATCAGGGGATCAGACTTCTTGTTAGTGGCCTGGAACAAGGTGTACTCCCAACAGAACTTATTTGGTACAACAGAGGAACCTGTTCACTTTATTGCCATCACTGGAGGCATGTCTTGTTTTCCTGCAAAGAGAGGATTATTCGCTGTGTGGTTAGCAAACTCAATGTCCCGGAGGGGGGGAGTTAAAGATTGTGACGTGGAAATTGTTGCTTTCGATTGTGTGTTTTTTTTTCACCATTTGCTAAAGTGGTGGTCTTCCTCCATAAAAAAGTGGACCGTTTTACCACGAAACCTGCATTTGCTTTATTATTATCAGCAATAGCAAGATAAAAAACATTTGGAAAATTTAGGTTTATTAGGTAAGATATAGTAAAATAGGTGTATTAGGTTTGAGATAGGAAAATAAGGGTATTAGGTTTGATTTAGCAAAATAGGTGTATTAGTATTAATCTGCGGCCCTGGTAAAGAGGAGTGGAAATTTTGTCTAAATTGAGTTGGAGTAGTTTTATAATTCTACGTGTTTATAGCACCAATGGGAATGTAAATTTTTCGACATTTGCATGGCCCGTGCTCAAAACATGTACATTTAGCTTCCACAAAGCTAACGACCTCTAACCCTTGACATTGTGATTCACATAGAGCACATGTATACTGTTTGAAAATATTTCGTTTTTTTTTTTAACACTTCAAAGATTTTATTGTGAAGAGATAATAAAGGACAGAATTTAGTTCCACTACATTAATTTGCATGCAATTTAGTCTACTGCTAATAATATATCGTTATATATCATTCCAATGTGATGATGTATCACAAAGTCTTTCTCCTGCATTACCTTATTTGGTAATGTAATAATTCCTCAGCTCTTACACAATGTCTATGATTATCCCTTTTTCCATAACTTTCCATCATTACGTCATTACCAAAATATAATCATTCTCTTATTAGGCAATGGTATGTTACTTGACCTAAGGTCGCAATTTCTATAAATACAGATTTTTCATTGTATCATCCTGAAATTTCATGCAGCATGAAGTGCTGCGTTGTCTGAGCACAATATATGATGTCATGAATGGAAAAAGTCTTACTCTCACCCAAGCACACCAAGCACAATGTTCCTCTCTACCAGGGCCACAGATTTGGTTTTTTAATGGATATTCACAGATATCTCTCTGGTTGAGAGAATGCATGGAAGCCCCTCGGTTGCCTTGTCGTACGGTGGACTTAATTAAATTCAATCTAATTGTTCAAAAGCGCTTCTTGCGATTATGAACTATTGGCAAAGCTTTATGCACTGTGCGTTCCGTGCTTACTCTCAGAGGGATTTTGGAAAAAGGGCATTCCAAAACTCCATTTTCCTCGGTTTCAGGTCCCGTTTTACGTTTGCGGACGTCATTTCCACAGTCCATTCCAAGTACTGCCCCCTGACGTCATCAATTCTCGGCCAGTGTGGCATGCAGGACGTTACTGAACGGGATAGGACGTTGGGGTTCCTGAATTTAAGATGATATACACTAAGATCAAAATTTTTTCTAATACACAGCGTGTTGACAATTAGTGATTTTAGCAAGCGGTGGTTGCCCATAAACTTATTAAATTACAATGGTTTCTATATTCTTTTTTCTTTTTCAATAGTATCGTTATTGTATGCTCTTGAAAATTAAGCTACGTTTCATTTGATCACAGTGCGAACATCGTGTTCAAAGAATTTCACTCAATATTTATATCAAAAAATTTTCATGTTTAACTTACCCCGTTCTCACAAAATTTCCTATGGCTGTCATTACTTGTTTACTCAGTTCCACTTCCTTCTCAGTTGGCTTGGTAGGGAACAGTGACGAGTCCAAAACGTCACCAAAGAAAAAATGCAGTTCTTCCATGTGAGAGGCACCATTAACGTAGTGAGGGTATACCGAAAATGAGGGTTTGTGAACAAACTCATAAAAGTAAACACTGGAATTATCTGGCCACAGAAGAGCATGCTCCCATGCAGGGGCGAGGAAGAATAAATCTTGCCACAGTTCCAGCCATGCCTCGTGAGATGACTTTATATTGGGCGATGTATACTCGAATATTGCGACATCGGTCATGTAATCAGGAGCACCGGGGTAAAGAAACTCAACTAGGCCCTTCGTAAAACCCTTTGCAATCTCTATGTAGGGTTGTGATTCATTTCCTGCTACACCAAACCAGAGGCCGCTATCACGCCGACATGTTCCCAACATATACTCTATTCCGTATGCATACCGACCCGGGTACTCTGTTACTTCTTTATCTATTATAATGCCGTCACCGTAAGGCACAAGGACATTGCCTGAAAATACGCTTTCGCCTTTATATTGATAAAACGCCGACATCAACTCCCTGGTTGTTTTTTGTCGAAGACAGGACACCATTTGCTGTCCCGCTGGAAATGAACAGTTCAACAAGGAAGCGATATTCATGGTGTTCTGTACTGTCAATCCTTTAAAAAATTTGTGTCCCCGAAGCACATGGGGTCCAGCTGAAGCAATTGCCCGCTGAAATAGTCGTCGATTTCGCATGATTGGACTCACTGAAAGAAAGATGTCCACCGTTACGCCGCCAGCCGATTCTCCGCCTAGAGTGACCCGTGATGGATCTCCACCAAAGGCCCGGATGTTGGTCTGAACCCATTCAAGCACCCGAACAGTGTCAAACATTCCATAATTTCCCCCAAGTTCCGGTTCACCATTTGAAAGGAACCCAAATATATTCAAACGATAATTGAATGAGATGACTATAATGTTACCTTGTAGAGCTAGAAAGGTACCGTTGTACTCGGTTCCAGATCCCCATTCATATTTCCCGCCATGTTTGAACACAAACACTGGGAGAAGATCGTATCTGTTCACTTCTACCGCCTTGGGAACATAGATATTCAGGAAAAGGCAGTCCTCGTTAATCTTCTGATTTTGGATTCGGGCGCGTACAAATTCCTTGGGATAAATATGAGTAAGCTGCGTGGTGAATTTTTGCGGACAGCTTGGTCCAAAATCCTCTGCACTTCTAACGCCATCCCACATGTCGGGAGGTTCGGGTTGTTGCCAACGCAGTGGGCCAACTGGTGGCTTGGCGTAGGGAACACCAAGAAACTGAATCACACGACCCAGAATGGTTTCTGCAGTAAATCCCCGTAATTTCCCATTACTAGTACGAACTATGAACTGTTTTGAATCAACATAGATGAAACAAAAACAAACCAGGAGGTAAAGCGCGGAAGACATCTTCGCTTTTCAGCAACTGGTTTAAAACAGGATCTGTTGCCCATACGGTAGGATGAGGACTTAAATAAAGTTATGTTTACAAGTGATAAGGGATGTACACATTGTGTGCGCAAGCAATGCATAATTTATGGGTCGTTAGCCCGAGGCTCCACTGATACCTATAAAGTTCACTGTCAGGTTAATACTGTGAATTCAAGTTTAGTCATAAATTCTAAGGTGTGTCCGGTAGTATGATGTAGTATGAGGACTTAAATACAAGTTATGTTTGGAACTGATAAAGGATGTACACGTCGTCATCTTGTTTGGGCAAGCGATAGGTAAAGTTTACTGGCAGGTTAATACTGTAAATACAAGTTTAGTCATAATAAGGTGTGTTCAAACCAATGACAGATTTCTATTAGATGTTAGGGAGCATTCAGATAGACACAGTGTATCCTCTACCAGGGCGACGGATTGATTTTTGGCAGATATTCACAGATATGTCTCTAGATAAATAGACAGTCATTTGTCTTTTTTTCCGTTTTTCCCTATATAATCTGCCACCCTGGTAGAGGGTAGACACAGTGTACTATTTGGGTCCCAACTATGAGGAGGCTCTAGCTAAGAGCAATCAGGTGATCAGTCAATATCAGACTCCTTATTCGTGGCCTGGGTCAAGCTTAAGGTGTGCTCCTACAATGCAACAAAACTTGTTTGGTACTGTACAGAAGAGGAAGAACCTGTCCATGGAATAATCAAACTACTTTATTGCCGTCAAATGGAGGCATGTCTAGTTTTCCTGCAAAGAGAAGATTATTCGCCGTGTGGTTAGCAAGTTCAATATCACATCGGGGGTGGGGGTAGTTTAAGACTGTGACGTGGAAATTGTTGCTTCCGGTCGTGGTTTTGTCCACCTTTGGACAGCCACTATTATGGAGGTCGAACCAGTTAATCTGTTGTTCCTCAGCTGACGTAGCTGCTGACGTCTACATGCAAGTTGTGGCGACAGGAATGCTGCCATTTACTAAAGGGGTGGTGTTCCTAAAAATAAAAAATAAAAAAACAAATAAATAAAAAAATAAATAAATAAAAAACAGTGGACCGTTTTACTGCAAAAAATGTATGTGCATTATTATTGGTAGTTGTAGCAAGATAAAAAAAACAAGGTTTGACAGACTTTAAATCATATTCATTATTCCGAAAAGTGGCTCCAATTGTAAAACTTGACTACAGGGGTCGCTTTTAGACCGGTTGAACACGAAACGGTATGCGTTACTTTGCAATTTTCCTTTTCATTCTTTCTGCGTTTTTTCCTTTATAATGCAGATAACTTGACCACCGTGCGTGCAATATAAGGGATAGGCCTTAAGGATCCTGTTTGTGGCGTAATCTTTAGGTTGTTAGTCTCGCCGTGCCATGAAAGAGGGTCCCACTGGGTATTTCCGTTATCCGTGAAAGCTACTTTTTATTTCCCGAGATGCGCATTATCTAGCGTGATTCGTGAAGCACCCCCCTTATACCTCATGAATGCGGTTTTTCGTGAATCGAAGTAATTATACCCGTTGATTCGCGATTTTAAGGATGTTCAACTCGCATTATCATTGAGATATGAATATAATTTTATCCTGTGATTTGTAAAATGATGATTTTATATCCCGTAAACTGTGATCCCTCCCCCCTCCCAATGGAACCTTCATGAAAAATTGGAGTTTTGACACACTACTATCATTTTTATACCAGTAGGGTTGCATGGCGTTATTGAACACCGTCCACGTTCACTGTATGGCGTAAGGCGTTATCTCATTTCACAACACTGTAGACAACGTTATGCATACAAATGTCCTTTATTTACGATAAGTATAGTATGGGTGTGTATACATGTACAGCACAATTTGTTACAAGTTGACACCGTGATACGTTACTTTTCTTTCTCTGCTTCATTTTTTGTTTGTACAATTCTAAAATCAAATAAATAAAAAGTGAAATATATATATAGGCCTATACGATAAATAAGAAAAATAAATGTAACAATAAACATTTTAAACTACATACTGTGTACTAATAGTATAAATTACATTAAAATTACATTTTATGCTATCTGCTATACATTATGTCCGTTATACATTTTGCCTACTGCTATCGGCTGTCCCTCCCTTGAAGTTGCTACTCGATATATTCTCTCAATCACGTGATTCAACAGTACCTCTGACCATATGGTCATGTGACTCGGTGCACTTAAATACACATTTACTGTGCCGAGACGCTGGACTGATAAGTTTCATTGCTGGACCTTGTACAACTTAGTTCTTTAGCTAATGTAAATGTTGAAGGCTCCGGAACCTTATATTAAGTGTGTTACATGTATTTAATACCTGCAGTATAGTATCCTCATAAATAGGCCTATTCATAGGCCTATGTAGCATATGTGACCACAGCGCTTACTGTAAGGCTCATTCTGCGCAAATCGATCTAACCTGGCACTGACTCTCGCTGAATGCAATCAGTTTAACAGATCAACACGCCTCCTCCTGGCATTGAGAAGAATACAGAAAAGCTGGTGATTATACGAGTACGGTGGAGACAGGACGAGGCGTGTTACAACGACCATCCTTTTTTATTCATTATTTTTATATTTAGAAAATTGAAAACAATTTTTGTAAAAGTTCTACTATATGTTTATACTCAGTTCTGAACACCTGATTCCACTTAACTTTTGAAATACGGTTTGAATTACTGTTTAATTATTACTTGATGAACGCTGTTATTCATGCAGCTGAACGCTACGTCTACATTTAAAAATATCAAGAAATGCCGCTCTAAACTGCCTATTCAATATCCCATATACAATTGGATTAATTACTGAACTTGCCATTGCAATCTTGAGACTTATGTTAGATGAAATGTTCAAGATATCAGTGATGTTTTCGAAAAGGTTTCTACTAAGAGAAAGTACTATGGTAGGAAGATAAACGGCTAGGAACGCTACTAAAGTAATTGCTGTCATCTTCGATACTTTCAAATCGAGTTCATGTCTTTGTTTGTTTTTTGTTTGTTTGTTTGTGTGTTTGTTTGAATGTTTTTTCGTTTGTTTTTTCTGCTGGCCTTGTTCTGCCTGACAAGTTTCTTGGGAACTTTGCGGTTGGAACTTAGGCGAAGGCCAAGCAACTTCAGAAGCTGGTTTCGAGCACTTCCCTCGTCCTTTGCCTTTCCCCTTATATTTAATCCCTGATGGTGGCACTTCCTCTATTTCCTCTACGGCTATTTGATTTTTAAAATATAACGCATTCGGTTTGGTTGAAAGATCACATCCTCTCGATGTTGACGGCTGTGGTTCGCCGGCTGTTGACGGGTGTGATTCGATCTTGTTCGTGTCATTTTTCTCGGTAATCTGATTGTCTCTCATCTGTTCCATGTCAGCGCACTTTTGTTTATTTTTGTTGATATTATAGGCATTAACTGTCATCTTCTGTCGCCTAACGTATAGAATAATGGCAGCATAAAACCCAAAGGCTAATATACAAAATAATGGGTAATGCACAACTATCATTGTGGTCAAGAATTCCTGTTGGACATAGCGGGCCGTGCATTCCACAGTCGGAGTCCATCTATTCCAACCCATAAATGGCAGGAGAAAAAGACACATCGGATAAAGCCAACAGAGAGCATTTACTGCGATGATCTTCTTTGTTGTTACCATTGTCACATATCGTGCATATACACAGATTTTCATGTATCTGTCAAATGCAATGAACAACTGGTGATCCACAGAAACCAACAACACGACCTTGGTCATGTATAGTTTTAAAAGACAAAGGTATTTGTCAAAGAGGTCCTTCATCACAATCGTTGCAACTATATTAAACGGAATACAAATAATTCCAGTAAGAAAGCCGACTACGGCAAGGCTTGCGATTGCAAAATTTGTCTTGTCGCGTAGTTCTTTACACCTCGCAAAGGCAAGTATAACAAGACCATTTGCTCCCGTTACAATAACGGCCAAAATTGCATCAAAGACAATAAGAGGTAAGCAATGAAGACTTAGAAAATAAGCAAAGTAGTCAACGTCTGTTTCATTTGTAGTTGGCATCAACTCTTGGGAAACATTCAATCTAGACTCTTCCAAAGATTCTGTGACCATCTTCATGTACACAAGATAACTGTTCTGGATACAAACGATATTTCCAACACGAGAGAATTTAAGTGGTTTCCAAGAAGTAACGGTTGAAGCACTTTATTTACTTCTTTGCCCAGCTCGAGGAGCGCGTGACAATGCAAAACTGTACATCTTGAGTCCAGATTACATTTGCCACGGGCGCCGTGGAATGAAATCGTATACAATTGTCTGTAATTTTTTCTTACTTTGTAAAGGGATTCTGTTAATTGCCATCTTGACGTGCAGAATATAACTTTTTGATAGAAACAATATTAGCCTTTGAGTTTTATGCTGCAATTATTGTACACGTTAGGCGACACGAAAGAACTTGAATGATTGCCGAGATATAGTAGAATTATACTGTATTACTTCTTTGTCAAGCTCGTGCAACGCGTCATTAAGGTCTGGACGGTGCTAATAGACGGACGTTTTCTCTCCCACATAGTCACGCTAGCCAATTGACAAAAGACCGTGAAACAGGTTCTCAATACCGCTACATGTTACATTTCTGGGGATCATTCCCTTCTCACAATGCAATTTTCTAACAGAAAAGATGAAAATTGTCTGCTGGCACCAACTGGAGCCAGGCACTCTCTCTGACAGTCTGGCACATCCCGACATCCATATATCGTTAATCATCATCATCATCATCGTCATCACCATTACTCTTTTTCGTTTTTTTTTTTTCATTTAAATTTACAGTTTTACGTACAACTCGTAGTGTAGGCATACATGTACGTAGTTTCGCGCATCCTATTAGCCCTATTCATTTCCGTATTGTTGCTGTCTCAAGTCCCTATTTACCTGCAATTTCCCCAGTTGTTATTCCCCCACTATATAGTTGCCCCTGGTCTAAATGTGACATACAAAACATATATATAGTTGCCCCTGGTTTAAATGTGACATACAAAACATATATATAGTTGCCCCTGGTTTAAATGTGACATACAAAACATATATTCATAAGCCATTTAAGTTATATATGAAGTCAAATCTTTGGCACTAAACTCGACCAAAGACCATCATTTAGTTTCAAAAACCATCACTTAAAGATATACAAGAGGGCATGATCATATCACACTTCTCACAAACGATATTTGAAAAGGTATTTATAGTATGTACCTGCTGCAGCTTTCGCAAAAATACTCGGTGTAATAATATGCTATTCAAGCCAAAATAACCTTCGCGCATTGACGTCGTAACTATAGCCTAACCGAAATGGTGAATTTAGAACGAACGTGTAAGCGTAAGAAGTAGTACACGGTGTCATTATCAACTAAAGAGCACACAAAATTTCCCAATTACCCAGAGCTTAACAACCTACTTCCTTACTGTAGCACAAATCTACCACTGCAGTTCAGCGTATATTCCTTTGTTAAGAGCGTTCCGTAAGTGCCAATTACTTGTGATTATGATCTTCCAACTCGGTGTGTGAAGTAGGCGAGATGCGTGTTTAGAACATCTTTGTCTATTGCCTAGTTGATAGTATCTGTTTTCTAATTATATAACCCACTACTGATATGTTTCAATAGCTATTGCTTTCTTTTTAAAAATCGAATTTGAATTGCGGTCTCCCATTATTCCTCGTCTCTGAAAAGAAAGATTTTGAGACTATCTATGTATACTCTTAATAATGTCTTTTTTCTTGCCACGAAAACAAGTGAATGTTTGAAGCTTTAAGTCACACACAACAATAGGCACACATTCTTCATGTAACCGAGAATGAAAAATACATTCACATTTAACCAACTATAATTTTGGCTCTATTCCCATAGATTTTAGATCGATCTATCCCCGCGGGTAGTCTCACTAGATTACTTTCAGATAATCCGACTTAAATGTCAGTCCCGCCTACTACAAGCTGTAAGAGGGTAATTAACTTTCGTGTCCGCCCGGCTGACAGCTATTTAGCGTGAACCCCCAGGGAGTTAGGTCGATCTAAAGTATTTCGATCTAATCTATGGAAATGAGGTGTTAGTGTTCAATAAAACGAGAGCCCATTACGTGTCACTGATAAAATTAGACTCATTAAACAAAAGGCTTAAACTCACTCGCCTATATCGAAGCTTTTAAATAATAAACATAACATCTGTAACTGTTTTAGATCCCATCTGGGTCCAATATGATATTATATTAAAGACGATAATTAACTGTTTGTCTTTTAAGTTATCGATAGATATTTTTTCTTTGCCTCTTCCAGTTCGTATACGCCTAGGTCGAGTTCCGTGAACGTTGACACCACGTCATCGTCCTTTATATAAATATACATAAAGTTTAAATTTTGTTTGCCAAGAGACAACCAATTTCCTTCGGTATAAATATATTAAACAGTCTAATCGCACATACGATGATTAATAAAAGTTCAGTTTTACCGACCATGTCATTTCAAATTTTTAGATGATATATATATATACGATTTTACAGTCTCTTGTCTTTTTTCTGGTCAGCGCCGTATCGCTGTCACTGTCTATGGCAAATGGTAGAGAAGACAATGGAGCACTCGGTGACTTCTTTGCTTTGCTAGCTCTCGTGTTGACTGCCGGAGGTCCCCACCAGTTGACAAGTGCACTCACGGCTCTTTCCAGGTCTCCGCCACAGATATCACCGATGTTTTCCTTCTTCTCGTTGATATGGTTTGTCGAATGAATAACGCAAGGTCCAGTCGCTGTTTTCTCACTACGAAATTATTTTATTCAAGTGAAGACCTTCTCTGCAGTATTCAATGATGATAATAGTGGCTGCTAGGTCAGTGGCACGTGTTGTAACCTCTGGTGTTCAGAAACGTATGTGCGTTGCGGTATCAACCCGCTCCCCTTTTTATTCTATTCGGCCACCACGCCCAAACAGCGGCCGTATTTTCCAGATGGTACATGTATCCCCAAATATTCGGAATATCCTCCACTTCTAATTTTCCACAAATAAGAATGAGATAGAGATGAACATGAAACGCTCATTCCGGATCTTCACAGCCTCGATCCTTTAGATATTAATTAAGTTGATAAAACCCATTCACTCTTGATTGTTGTCCGTTGCCGATGAAAGCTGACCCCAAAACTTATCTAACGCATGCATAAATAAAATCGCTATGGCATTTCTATCAAAATGGCTTCCATCTCCGCTCGGGAGAATATTATTAAAGATACGACAGTAAAATAGAAATCAATTTATTGCATGGGTGGCACAGTCCGCTTGGGTGTAGTGCGCGGTGAATACAATAGGCCTACTATATTCACATAGGCCTATTGCAAGTATGTGAATGTATATCATGTGTAAGACATTATATAGGCCTATACAACTTTTATAAAACAGAGATATATCATGGGATCAGCTAAAGATATCAGCCCACGGCATTTTACACCTAAAAATCATCTTTTTAAAGCGGTAAAACAAGGCACTTGCTCCTGGTCTTGATTCAGCTCAAAGACTTATAGGCCTACTTTAAATATTTCTGCTTCTAATAATAGCAACAAAAAAAAAAAAAAAAAAAAAAAAATGCATTTGATTTACCACGTCAAAACTTCCAAAAAAATTTACATTAGCACTCTCTATAGGCCTATACTTAACCTAAGACGCGACACGAGACAAAAGTTCGTAACAATTTTCATCAGAATGGGTTCCATCTCCGCTTGGAAGAATATTATTTAAGACACGACAGTAATAACAAAATCAATTTATTGCATGGCTGGCTTTGGTACACACGCGTAGGCCTACAATAGGCCTACTATTCATATAGGCCTATTACCAATATGTAGGCCTATTACAAGTGAAGGTCATCATATATCCAACTTTTATAAACAAAGACATATCATGGGGTAGCTAAAAATATCAGCCCACGTCTTATACTTTTTTCTGGCTGCTTTAAAAATAAGCATCCTTTTTTGCTTCTGAACCACCCCCTATTTGCAGCTCAAAATTACAATATTTTTACTACTAAATGGTGTCATCAAATTGGCGTTGAAACGGTGTTTGTGTGTGCCAAGGTAAAGAAGAAATTGGAGAAACCGATTTTTCCATTTGTAGGCTCCCCCAAAAGCGCAATTATGGTCAATAATTATGCCGTCACCCGCAAGATGCCATGAGTAAATTTAATTATTCAGTTGCTGAACACTGAAGATTTATCTGTTATCCAAATAAATGTAGGGCCTGTGTACGGTAGTTATAATAATGAGTTTTTGGTAAACGCTTACAGTAGGCTATCCTGACTCTATCCTTGACGAGAAAAAAATTCTGGTCAGACGTGACTCATCTAGCTCTTGAGCTGTGGTTGTGGATTCGTTTGTTTTTATAACACTGGCATTGGGCCAAAGATATGTGAGAGCTTGTTTTCCTTCTCGCCATCCACTATAAAATAGGCCTAATAGAGCAGGCATTGTATTGTACCATTCATTTTAATTTGCACAGTGATATAGGCCTAATGTAGGGCCTATTATGTAAGACACCTATCTAAGAGCAAGAGCTTTGCCGCTATGACGAAACTGAACGAGGGCCCGTGTAACAGACAGTCCACGGCACCCTCCATTTAATTATACAGGTAACTTGAGGTAAGATCTAGCCTGATAAAGGTGGGTAAAAACCTAGTGCGAGGCTTATCTTAACGAGAAAAAGGGGACCGAATTCTCTATCATGGGAGACTCTCTGTCACGTCACACCGGTCTTTTAAAGGAGTGACCACAACGACGGAAGTCACTTGAAGTTTTTGACCTGCGTGCGCACCCCTCACTGGCGAGTGCCCTAACGAAGCAGAGCAAGCAGAGCAAATAAAACAAACGGCGGTGCAGGCAACTTTGAAAGTTATGTAGCAGACATTTGAAAATGATTAGGTAATTATATTATCTCACTTTCCCTCATTCTCTCTCTCTCTCTCTCTCTCTCTCTCTCGTGGCACTAGCCTACTCCCCGTACTCTGATCTTCTCTCTTTACTGCTACAGTGAGTACCCAGCACCGTACTTGTGAAAGGCTGTTTTTAAACACGCAGAGCCAGCTGAATGTACTTTAAGTTACTGCAATAGTATCCAAAATGCTACTGTCCTCAGTGGGGTATGTCTTCAGTGGATAGGTGCCCACTGAGGCTGTAGATGTTTATATAGCACGTTCATGTTTGTAGGCTACTAGAGGGGCGCCAGCACGGCCTATTACATAATGTCCGCACAGTAAATAACGGTCAGCTTACGTGGGGACTTTATTCTGTGCAGTGGTGATAGTCCATATGGTATTACATAACATTTTATACAGATTCAGATTCTTTATTGATACACACCTACACTCACAAGGAACAAATAACAACAACTAACTATAGCAATACACCAATAAATAGATACACATATTTAATTATGATATAAACAACAACCATGATTACACAAATTATATTTGGATATTATATTGGTTCATATAAGAGTAATTCATGATCATTTGCCAGAATTGATCTACATGCTGAGCCTATTTGCTGAGTATGGAGATAGCATAGGGGAAACCTTTTCAGCAAATGCACAGATTGTTTATAAAACTTTTGAATATCTTTCTATAATAGTACTTTATACAAAACAGAGGCAAATGGAAGGGGGGGGGGTCAGGGGGTTTATTCTCCCTCTCTACCAAATCAATTACCTCTTTAGCTGTACTATTTCTTTAAAATATTCGCATGTTGTAAGAATTACAGCTTACAAACACACACACACACACACACACACACACACACACACACTGTCGAGGTCGATCCCCTTATCCTCTTTACCCTGACCTTGTATAGATATAGATATAGAGATTACCTAGGTTCAGTGCCTTAGACTATGCTCACAGAGAAGAATGTAACTTCTTCATGCTATAATTGATTGCTGTTAGATAATNAGTGCCAACGTATCATCCATTATGCATACTACAAAATAATAGTCATTTACTCAAATAAAATGAGATTAATGGATGTTTTTTGGGGGGAGTCAAAATTTCATAGGGGGAGTCACATTTTCATTATGAAAATCTGACTGGGGAGTCACATTTTCATAATGAAAATCTGACTGGGGAGTCACATTTTAGGGGAGTCAGATTTTCATGGTACACCGGCTTAAATGTCCGTCCCGCCTACAACAAGCTTTAAGGGGGTAATTAACTTTCCTGCCCGCTCGGCTGACAGCTATTTAGCGTGAAACCCCAGGGAGTTAGGTCAATCTAAAGTAGATCGATCTAATCTCTGGGAATGGGGTCTATGTGCTTCAATGAATGGTCAGTTACTTACCAACCCCCACCCCCAGATTTTACACATTAGTTTATCAATTATATGTCAGTCAGCAATTCATTGATTGGGTCCTTCTTGGTGTAATCACAGTTCTGGGGCTTCCTACAGTTACACATTAGTAGCACAAGTTTAAATGGGATTATATGCTAAGGTATCAAGTCTGTAATAAATATTCAACATGTTTCATCTAAATATTTATACAAAAGTTTATGACCTCCACAATATCCTTTTATCTATTTTTAAATTAAAAAAAAATACTCGCCATGTCTGCCCTGACCATTGTTCTTATTCAGTCTCTCCAAGAAAAAAAGGCGTAAAGAACAGGGTGTGAAAAAATGCTGTGTCATGATTGGCTGAGAGATGTTGAAGATTGAAAACCGACTCAAGGTTGATTGCAGCTGTTGCAACTAACAAAATTCATGAGCGGTATTTTTTGGGGGTGGGTGGGGAGGAAGGCTTTTTTTTTTTCTTTCTAAAACTCTCATGTTTTATTTTTCCAGAGTATAATAATGGAGTGATGCAAGAAGTACTTGCACAGAACATACCAGTGATGAGTTATCAGGTTTGTCTTGAAAATAATTTCTTATTTCAAAGAAATTTTGAATCTAGTTTTTCATATATATATATATAAGTAAAAAAAGCAGCCCCTCAGTGAATCTATCGCACTACTAGTATGTAGATGGATCCACCTCTGTGGGGACTCTTGCTGAATGCAATATGATTAACTGAATGAGCAGTTTGGGGTGATAAACTTTAGTGTGCATTCGTGAAAAAGCTTGCGGAAACTGAGGGCACACTATCTAGTTACCCAACCTGCTTAAGCAAGTGTCCCCACAGAGCTGGAACAGTGTACCGAGTACATTAATTTTATTGGAAATGCACCCAGAGATGCAAAAATGTTTATAAAGTGGGGAGATTGTGTAACATTGACTCTACTGTTTGTTGTGATTGTTATTTCATTAGTTATAGATGTTATGAAGTGACATATGATATTGTAACTGATCAATATTTTCAAACAACCTAAATTATTAATCTCTCACCACTACCTGCAACAAAACACATTTTAAGTAATTTTGAAGGTGGCAATTCAGAAGATAAAGTTTTATTTTTACTTGAAATTTAAAGTTGGCTTCATGTCAGAAACTATATTGTTGAATGGGACAGGGGAATCACAGGGGTTACTGTCCCAAAAGACAAGTTATATCTAATGCGCCAAGTAACCCTTGTTATATTTACCAGACCTCACTGGCCCAAAGGGCACAGTGGAGAAAAAAAGTTGGTGTCAAGCCCTGCATTTGAAAATTCTGAATAATTAGTCTTTTTTCCTCAGGTTCCAGATTATGTGATGGTGCCATTGCAGTATTTGCCAGCAGCAGGGAATCCCAGCATGCCCCTGCAATCCTTCAGTACTTCCCAGAACCCTACGAACTTAATGGTGCCAGACAGCATGGGGCAAATGCAGCAGAATTCTACGAGTTCAGGACTGCCTAATGAAACTGTACAAATGCAACCAAGCTCCTCCAATTATCCAATCCAGATGTATCCTGGCTCTTGGAATTTGACTGCTCCAGTATCAGCTGTGCCAGAGCTTCCCCTTTCTGTGAACCCTCCTGTGCAGATCACTGCCCCACTCCCTGCAGGGCAGGTTCAGTCCAATACTTACAAGACAAGTTTTCCAATGCAGACTCCCCATGTGCAGTCAAACCCTCCAAAATTTGTTGCACCAGTGCAACCAGTACAAATTCAGCCTAAGCCTACACAGTCTGCTGCACCACTACAAATTCAGCCTAAGCAGACACAATCTGTTACACAAGTACAACCAATGCAAATTCAGCCTAAGCCTTCACAATCTGCTCCGCCAGTACAACCAATGCAATTTCAGCCTAAGCCTGCACAATCTGCTAAGACAGTACTACCAGTGCCGATAAGGCCCAAACCTACGCAGTTCACTGTACCAGTACCAGCAGTGCAGATGCAGTCCTCCAGTTTGAATTCTTCACAAACAGTGAGAAGTGTGGAGACCCAGACTTTGCCAAGGCAGAGGATGAGGAAGCAACAAATTGAAGCACTTGCTAGCACAAATTCCTGCACACCGATGTCAGGTAGCACAAACTTAGGAATTTCCACGCCAGCAAGCACAAACCCTCCGACTGGTATTTCTATGTCACATAAAACTTCAGGTGCCCAGTGTAGGGATAACCAAGAGAGTGAATTGCCAACTGGCAAAAGCTTTGATCCTCAGGGTTCCAAGGGCACTGCGGGACAGCTGGGGCAATCGGTATCATCCAAGCCCTCATCAAAGGTAAAGCTGTTTCTTATGTCTACCTCTCAAGGTATGTTCTGGTGTAACTTTTGTCCCTATCAGACCAGAGTGCTGCGGGAGATGGAGGAGCACGTCCGCTCAAAACACCAGCCTTTTACATGTCCACGGTGTAACAAGAGGTTTGCGCTGAGGATCATGTTGCACTACCATGCCTCTGAGGTACACGGACATGCTGGTCTTGCTGCTGCTACCACCACAAATATCACATGTCCAGCAACTAGGACCAAGACGGAGCAGATGGAAATGGGTTTGGTGAAAGTTAAAAGTGAACCAGCAGATCCTGATGCAGATGCTGCAGAAAGAGTTCAAGGAAATGAGGAAGGGAAAACTGAACCAGTTGAGCCTGACAATGGCATTGAGGATGTAGAGCCAGTTGCTGTTAAAGTAAAGACAGAACCAGTGGATTATAATGCCACTGCTGCCATTCCAGAAGTTTCATTGGAGCCCATGGTTGCAGGCCAAAAGGAAACACAAACACCAGAAAGTATACAGGATACTGGTATAGAAACAGGCACAACAGAACAGGAGGAGAACATCCTAAATCCCCTTGATGAAGTACAATCAATAGAAATGGGAACCAGCACGATGAAAAAATCAGCAGATGATGTGGTAAGAGGGAACATAAACCTAAATCCTGTAGTCCTGTTGGAAAGATTAGACTTGACAGCCATGACTATGACAGTGGCTTCATCACAAAGGACTAGTTCTTACTCCTCACTTGGCGTTGAAGAGGTTGAAGTGATTTCAAATGACGACAGTTCAAACGACTCCACATCTGTATCTCTTAAGCAGGAGCCATTGATAACACACAAGTGTGAGTCTGGTAGCAGTAGAACAGATTGGAATACCCTTTATAAAGGTGGTGCAGATGTACAGAGTTCCTCTCCAAATACACCAGAGGCTACACAGGTGTCTNCTGGCTCTTGGAATTTGACTGCTCCAGTATCAGCTGTGCCAGTGCTTCCCCTTTCTGTGAACCCTCCTGTGCAGATCACTGCCCCACTCCCTGCAGGGCAGGTTCAGTCCAATACTTACAAGACAAGTTTTCCAATACAGACTCCCCATGTGCAGTCAAACCCTCCAAAATTTGTTGCACCAGTGCAACCAGTACAAATTCAGCCTAAGCCTACACAGTCTGCTGCACCACTACAAATTCAGCCTAAGCAGACACAATCTGTTACACAAGTACAACCAATGCAAATTCAGCCTAAGCCTACACAATCTGCTGCGCCAGTACAACCAATGCAAATTCAGCCTAAGCCTTCACAATCTGCTCCACCAGTACAACCAGTGCAAATTCAGCCTAAGCCTTCACAATCTGCTCTGCCAGTACAACCAATGCAATTTCAGCCTAAGCTGAAGCCTGCACAATCTGCACAATCTGCTAAGACAGTACTACCAGTGCCGATAAAGCCCAAACCTACGCAGTCCACTGCACCAGTACCAGTGGTGCAGGTGCAGTCCTCCAGTTTGAATTCTTCACAACCAGTGAGAAGTGTGGAGACCCAGACTTTGCCAAGGCAGAGTTTAAGGAAGCAACAAATTGAAGCACCTGCTAGCACAAATTCTTGCACACCGATGTCGGGTAGCACAAACTCAGGAATTTTCATGCCAGCAAGCACTAACCCTCAGACTGGTATTTCCATGTCACATAAAATGTCAGGTGCCCAGTGTAGGGATAACCAAGAGAGTGAATTGCCAACTGGCAAAAGCTTTGATCCTCAGGGTTCCAAGGGCACTGTGGGACAGCCGGGGCAATCAGTATCATCCAAGCCCTCATCAAAGGTAAAGCTGTTTCTTATGTCTACCTCTCAAGGGATGTTCTGGTGTAACTTTTGTCCCTATCAGACCAGAGTGCTGCGGGAGATGGAGGAGCACGTCCGCTCAAAACACCAGCCTTTTACATGTCCACGGTGTAACAAGAGGTTTTCGCTGAGGATCATGCTGCACTACCATGCCTCTGAGGTACACGGGCATGCTGGTCTTGCTGCTGCTACCACCACAAACATCGCATGCCCAGCAACTAGGACCAAGACAGAGCAAATGGAAACAGATTTGGTGAAAGTTAAAAGTGAACCAGGAGATCCTGATGCAGATGCTGCAGAAAGAGTTCAAGGAAATGAGGAAGGGAAAACTGAACCAGTTGAGCCTGACAATGGCATTGAGGATGTAGAGCCAGTTGCTGTTAAAGTAAAGACAGAACCAGTGGATTATAATGCCACTGCTGCCATTCCAGAAGTTTCATTGGAGCCCATGGTTGCAGGCCAAAAGGAAACACAAACACCAGAAAGTATACAGGATACTGGTATAGAAACAGGCACAACAGAACAGGAGGAGAACATCCTAAATCCCCTTGATGAAGTACAATCAATAGAAATGGGAACCAGCACGATGAAAAAATCAGCAGATGATGTGGTAAGAGGGAACATAAACCTAAATCCTGTAGTCCTGTTGGAAAGATTAGACTTGACAGCCATGACTATGACAGTGGCTTCATCACAAAGGACTAGTTCTTACTCCTCACTTGGCGTTGAAGAGGTTGAAGTGATTTCAAATGACGACAGTTCAAACGACTCCACATCTGTATCTCTTAAGCAGGAGCCATTGATAACACACAAGTGTGAGTCTGGTAGCAGTAGAACAGATTGGAATACCCTTTATAAAGGTGGTGCAGATGTACAGAGTTCCTCTCCAAATACACCAGAGGCTACACAGGTGTCTTCTGGGAGTTTGGTGAATGGTGGTCCACCAGCTGACCCCAGGGGGGAGAAATCAGTTCCTGCAAGACCTGTAGCGGGAGAACTTCACACTGTGGACAGTTGGGAAGACACTGCAGAGAGCCTGTTGACTTATGTAGAAGGCAGATCACCCATGGGAAGGCTTGTAACACACTATTACCCTTTCAAAGTGCGCTGTGTGTTTTGTAAGGAAGAATTCACAAGTGTTCAAGGAATCAAGTCGCATACTGCCCAGAGCCATTCTTCATCCAGTACAATCTTTGGGTGGTTCTCTCTTAAGGCAAGGGATGCTGTTCTTCTCAGGTTTTGCCCTGGGAAGGAATGTTTTTTCCGTGTCTTAGGAAAGAAGGGGGCAGCAGACAAATTGGCATGCCATATAAAATCTTGTGAAAATTTGGAGAAATTTGGCACTGTGTTTGATATGGAACAAACCCAAAAGATCATGCCTCAAAGTGGGGCGTCTAGCGGTTCAAATGAAAGAGTACTGAAAAGAACTCATTCACCTGGAAGAGATGAAGAACTGCCTGAAAAGCAAACAAAAAGGCTTAAGTGTGAGTCAGAGGCAGGTGAAGAAAGTCTCATGGCTAAAGTACACATGGACTGTGAAGAAAACCAGGATGGCGCAGACAGTGATGATGCCTCGAATTGGAGTAAGGATGGCTCTATCCAAAATAATCCACCCTCAGATTTCTCCGACTCTGATTCATTGGATGATGAAACTTATGTACCTTCCCCATTGAAGAAAAGAAAACCCAAAAAACATCTCTTCGATAAGAGTAGGTCAAAATCCTTTGTCAATAGTAGACATCACAAACTTGGTACTACAAGTACCTCTACACTACCTCAAGCTGACAACAAAACTCCAAAGACTGTTGCTTCCCACTCTTCCAATTCAAACACAACAGAAATAAAGAAGCCAGAAGAGACAAAGCTAGGGGTTGCTGAGACTGAAGCATCAGACGGGCACAGTGGTTCATCAGTGCCTATATACCAGGAGAGGAAAGTCCCCAGAGAAAAGCACGTAGATACCAGTAAACACTTGTGGGAGTGTATGAAATGCCCAGGGTCACCTGCATTCCAGGCTGAGAACTTACGTGGTGAGAATAAGACTGAAATAAGGTCCCTAGGGTAGCGCTAACACTCGCCAGTTTAGCCAAATGCTAAAACTGACTTAAATTGGCTGAACAAAAAGGGTTTGATTTGGCTCATTTTAGTCAAATTAACACCATTTGGATAACAAATTGACAAAAAGTGGTGATTTGGCTAAGCGAAAAAAGTTGCTAGCGCTACCCCAGAGTCCATTTTGATATACATGTATTTAAAGTATGTTCAAGGATGAGAATGAAACTCAACTCTTTTTGTAATCTGGACATTTTGTCAAAAGAAGCTCAACTAGTCCATTTGTCATTGCTTATTGAAGAGTTGGATTTGCCTCTCTCTTTTTGTTGATGTGAGGATGAGTTTATAGGTCATAATTATCTGCTTTTGACCATTGGTGATCATTGGTAAATTGCTGCAATTTCCAGGATTTTTATTTTTTGCTTATTTAATAATAATTATTATTTGCAACCAAAAGTTGGATGGTACATTTATGATACTTAGAAAAATGTTTATTCTCAGAAAAACATTAGATATTAAAATAATTTCTAAGAAATTTATTATATATTTGTTTATTTACTTGCATTGTATTAAAAAAATATTTGATATTAAATAATTTCTGAAAGATTTATAATACATTTGTTTATTTACTTACATTGTATACTTTCATATTCTCATTCCCTTGTGACATATTTTTCAAATGCTCCCATTTTCTAGATGTGAAGCTCCACATTCTTAAAGATCACCCAGACACTAAAGACATTGCAGCCCGGGACATCTTGAGCAAGAAGGACCCAAAGACTAAGGATCATTGCAGGAACTACATGTGCCCCGTGGACTACTGCAATGCCTTCTTTTACCGGCAGAGTGATGCCCAGTCCCACTACCAGAAGGTAACAGTGGCAGGTTAAAGGGGGAGAGGTCAGGGGGGGTCCTGACCCCCCCCCCCCCTCCCTTCGATTTCTAAAAAAAATCACACCAATGGCCCTCTTGAAATTAGAATTTTAACTAGCTGAATCATAGTTTTTAACCATACCAAATAGCACTGTTCGCCCTTCAGGGCCCTAAACCCCATGCCAGGGGAAGGTGCTTTGCATCTGCGGACTCCCTCTTCAAGTAATCTTGGATCTGCCCCTCAGTAATAGTATGTGTTTGAAAGCAGGCATATGTGTAAGAGTTCATGAGAATTTATTATAATTTGGTGATGTATATTTATCACAAAAATGGTATAAGTTTATTACTAATAAACTTATACCATTTTTGTGATAAATATACATCACCAAATTAATTTACAATTAGGATAATTCAAAGGAAAATTTTGAAAAGATGTTAATTCTCTTTTGGTAGTATTTCCTAGTTTATAGGTATGTTATTTATGGGCATTTATCTCAATCTGTGGTATTATTATTATTATTATGATTATGATTATTATTTATTTATATAAATTGACATATTTTTAAGGTGTGTGGACGGAACTTGTTTAAAAGTGAGCCATTCAGGAAGATCTCTGACCTCAGCAGTGAAGCTGACACCACTAGTGACAAGAAAACAGAGAACAGTTTTAACGAGAAGTCCCCTGGTTTAGAGAGAGCTGATAAATCTGACGGTCACACACCTGGCAGCCTTTCTACAAAGAAATCTGGTCCACTTCATCAGAAGACATCTCACAATTCCTCTGTGAAAAAATCTAATCCAACAAAAAGAAGTTCCACCAGTACTTCTAAAAATAAAAATGATTCTGCTTTTAAGAAAAGATCTCACAGTTTGAAGAAGGGGGTAAAAGCTTCAGATCGCACCAAGTCCAGGACAAAAAGTAAAGGGAAGTGTAAATGATGGTGTCATTTTGCATCCAGGGGTTTTGTTAACTGAGCTACATTTTCAAGTTTGATTTCTCGTTCACCATAATACTACCTGGTTACCAAACAGATGTTATTTGCAACGCCTGCAACATTCTTGGTGAAAGCAAATTTATTTATCGAGTCTGAAATATTTTTCTGCCCCCAAATATCAGTATTTTAAATGTAGTATTATTTTCTTATTAAAAATGTCTGCAGATCTGTAAAAAGAACTTTGTAATGAGCACAAAATGAATTGAGATCATATCTCAAATAATTAAATGGAATTATAAACATTTTAGGATTTTTAAGCTGTAACACATGGAGCATCATACCCCATGCATAATTATTGAATGGAAAATTTATTGTAATAATTTTTTCATTTATATATCTATTTATTTTACAGCAGCATGTAATGAGATTGAGCTGAAGTTCTTGAAATTTTGCTGTGCGTTTTATGCTCTTGGATTAATAATAATGGTATAATTGTCAGCTCAGATGCAAACCTTTCCATGGAAAGTAATCTTTTACCATGATATAACCTGTACTTAGGATCATTTCTGTCAACATCCAGCATTTTTGTTCATGCTGTTTTTCAGAGCTATAATATTTATGTACTTCAACTTATAATTGTGATATCTAATTATTTAATTCGCTTTATGATAGTAAGTCAATTGGTTTGAGAAAATTGAAAAAGGCAGCATTTTTTATCATCTGTAAGTGATACTCAGTGGCACATATTATAGATTGTGTACATTTCTTTGTGTACTTCTTAGAATAATAAGTTTGTTAGGAGTTTTCCCTTTTCCAGTTAGATAATGCAGATATAAACATACTGTCACGTCAAAAATATAATAGTGCCACTCTGCGACTTTTCAAAAGGCTGGACAATGGAAGCAATCTAGCTATGAAGTTGAAATAAAGTTAAATTAGTGAAAGAGAAATAAAGAATAACATGATAATTATACCATGCATGTCATTTATTTGTTTAGCCTCCTGTATAAATAATATTACATTTCAAACCTTTTCACATACGCTGATTTAAACAATAACATAGTTTGCTTTAGGCCTTAATGCCAAACTTAATCAAATGCCTTTACCATACCTAACAACAATGAGAGAGTTAATCTAAATTGTGTGATTTCAACCCCTTGGGTAACTTTAACTGTATGACATGTCCCATCTTTAAAAAAAATATCTGTTAAGTTGAGGATTAAGGTTGCCAGGTATAATAATAATAGTAAGACATTTATTTGAAAAAAAAAAAAAAAAAAAGCCTTTTACAACGGGGGCAACACAGGAGCAGGGACCCCTGTGGTGTGCATTTATATATTTTACAAGCTGAGAATAATAATGAAAATGTATTCTTTTCAAGGATTTCATAATTTCTGTCCATTATTTAAAAAAATCCCTAAAATTACATCTCTCATCAAGATCAACATTTTATCATATGGTAACGAGGCTATAAAATGCTGTAAAAAATCACACTAATATTTCCCTCTTGAAATTAGGATTTGACTAGCTGAATCATAGTTCTATACCGTCAGGTGTGACTGTGGTCGTGGATGTTGATGCCGTGGTAGTTTTCTCTGTAAAAGGAAAGATCAGCAAGATAAAATGGCTCAATACACCGTGTATTTACGTCTAATAACCCACACGACTTTCATTCTTGACAAAATCATTTTAGTCATTAGGTCATCATGAGAGAAGAAATCATTGAGATTTTTATGAAAAGGAACCGTTTTTTTAGAAATTTCACTTCTTTTCTCTTAATCACAAAAGTATACCATAACCGAAACTGTTCACAGAATTGCGATATATATATATATATATATATATATATATATATATATATATATCTTACAATAACACAAATTCTAAGCCATGACAAAATCCTTACATTGTACATCCAGTGTGTACCTTCCTTGCTTTGGGGAGTCTCCACTCACTGCAGAGTTTGGTTCAACAACACATGTATACATAACTCCATTATCCTGGGATGTCGGTGTAATACTCAGAATACTAACTCCATTATAGGTACAACCATCACTATTGATACTTGTCTGCTGAGTAAATCCAGTGGTGATTTCTTGATAGCCTTTGTACCACTTCATGATGCCTGGCGGTCGCCCAATATTACTGGCTGTACAAGTCAGGGAGGCATGCTGTCCTGCTTTCAGCTGACTTGGTGAAGATGTGATTGTGATGTCGTTTCCAAGGAACTCTGCAGCGAGTTTTAGAGACAAGCAATGTTAAAGATGTAAGTATTACAAACGAACAGATACGCTAATAATGCTTCATTATACTTTATGCATAACATATCACTAAAACCCAAAATTAAACTTAGAGGTAAAATATGAACCGAACATCGATGGAATCCAAGTCAGTACACTATATATAAACCACCCCCACTAGTTTCTTATACAAATCAAATAAAGTTGACATGCCAATATATAAACCGAATTAATCAATCGATAAGCCATAAAATAGCTTTAAATTGACACCTCTTTAAATTTTTTGGTCGTAAATTTGACCGACTTATAATTTGTCTTACTTATCTGCCCCATTTACATACAGCTCAGCAAGCAAGCAGGAAACTCCATTTCTTTTATCGGGTAATACGATGACTTTTGGCATTTCTCTAAGTTATACTATTTGAAACTATGTGGTGACATCTGGTCGACTTTTGTATAAAAAAATTAGTTTATTATATGCATATTTTAGTTCATCTAAATGGAATCAAAATTGCTTATGTGAATAAAAAATTATCTTAATCTTTCTGGTCCTGGTCAAAGTAAATACGCAGTTTTATTATTCTATATGGCACTTACCAAATAGATTAACGTTGAAACTTGCTGTTCCAGTGCTGTCATGCAGTGCAGAAGTAACCACCTCACAGGTATACTCTGCTATATCACCTGGACACTGTAATCTTGTTAATGTAATTGATGTTCTGGTACTGGAGGAGGTAAGACTGCCCAGTGTTACACGGTCCTTTACATTTGTGTCAGGATATTGTGGTGTAAAGTTAGGTGTTGTGGCAGTTGCTATCACTGTAGAACCTTGTTTCCAGTTTATTCTAAGAAGATCAACCCCAGCTGGTGGTGTCCATTGATATGTCAACGTGGTTTGTGATCCTGCTTGAACATAAGTCTGTAGAGATTTTGTAACCGTACTAGAAAGCACTGTAAGAGAATTTGTTTTGTAGTTTGAAATCTGTATAAAATAATACAGTCTGCCCTCGATAATTTTTCATTTTTATGGGGGGAGGGGGGGTAAGACCCCCCTGTCCCTATACCACCCCTAAAAATAAACTCCTGACTATACATGCGATGACCTTGGGGGGACTCTGAGAGAGAGAGAGAGAGAGAGAGAGAGAGAGAGAGAGAGAGAGAGAGAGACCGGATTGTTAATATTACGTAAATACCCAACATATTAGATGTAAATCTTACCTTGGTGGCAACAAATCACGTAAGCACACAGTGCCAGCACAAGATAATGTAGTCTGTCGCCCATTTTAAACGCTGCGTGTCAACTGTCCTCGCCACTGACACGTACTCCCGT